GTGTACACTCTGAACCTGTGCATGTTTGAGTTCCATATAGAAATTACAGCCTCACCAGTGACTGTGGGCACTTGTGCACATTTGTGCTGTAAAACCAAAGGTTTTAAATTGCAGATCCTGGTTATCCTGTGGTTGGGGGAGTGAAGGTTGCCTGCAAAATTCTGTCTTAAGTTTCAACCAACAAGCAGAAACCCGTCATCAAGTTACGAGCCATTTCCCAGTAATAGCAGGTCAACCAAGCCAAAGTCAAAGAGCAGTGCCCATGTCACAGTTTATCTGAATAGCTCCTAACTTCAGACTGGATGTGACATTTGTAAGACTGACTTCCGACTGACTTATCGACTGACTTACCAGTATGTACAGCACATTCCACATGACACTACATGTACATGTATTCTGCAGGAAGTGGTACTCAAACATTGCCTACAACATCCTGGCTGTTGCTGTAGCAAGTACGGGTACATGTACGTGTAAGGCCCCACGTAATAATTTTTACCCTCGCTGAAGGTAACACATCCTCATCTGCTAAGTTTGGTCAGGTAAATAGAATACAGTGGAAAACATTTTCTTTTCAAACACGGAGAACAGTGCCACACAGCAATGGGAGCCAAGGTGAAGAGCCCTATTGTACATGTACTGTACACTCATGTCAGATCAACAATTCAGTCCAATCTAGTTTTGTGAAAAATTCACTAACCAGAGAACAACCACTAAAATTAAACCATGGGCAAATCTTTCTTTTACCAGGGATGGGAGAAATGAATGAGGGGTTTGATTGATACACTAGATAATCTAAATAATGCTGGTACATGTATCAATGAATTTTAGCAGATAACACTCCACAGGACAAACTGAAGCACAAACTTTATTCAACCTTATTTTGACTCGCATCACTGAAATGATGGCTGATAGTCTCCTTGACCATGTGGTGACGAGCCCGAAGCAGTTCCATTGTTCACTGTGGTACGCTGATAACTACGGTGTACATGTACAGTAAGAAAGTGAAAAGAGCCACCAACAGAAACTTGTGAGTAATTTGACTGTTTGCCACAATGGTTTGAGCAGAGGCATTCCAGTGGAACCCTCGTAAATGCTCATGTACGTGTGTACGCAATGGTAAGAAGCAATTAGCTAGAGGTCCAACTATACTGTGGATTGCACTAAAACCAATCCATGTACATGTACATGTATGTATGTCAAGATGCGTGGTCTGAGCCAATCCGGCAAAAATTCCCAGAGCAGAGAGGGCTCGATCTCAACTTTTGAAGGATCTGCATAGAATGTACATGTAGTTTGGAAATGATTCAAGAACAAGAAGTGTGACCCTGATCACAATGAGGAAGTGGTTTATTACACTGCATGTATGTATACGTGTATTCAAGTGCCAGCTTGTTTTTTAGAATTGCTAAGACAAACATGTAGCAAAATGTACATATGGTATCTTCATGGACACATGTATCATCGATACTGCAGGATGGGCAAGTCAATGTAACAACTGCCCCCCTTTCTCCGTATCCAAGCCAAACATGTACATGTATACATGTATATTATAACCACTTAGACTCCCCAATGAAGTACATGAAATTACTGATGAATTCATCAGCCCCCAGTCTTCCCTAGCCTGTTGCATTCTTTGATCTTGTTGACAAGTCCTGTTGGAAAGTGATAGGATAGAACTCTTTCCTAAATCGCTATCAAAAATTGTGATGTGATCTGTGAAAACCCTTTGCCATTTTGTTACGTATCAACTTCAAATTGATCTAGACACCGTTCTGTTTCCAAAACTGCTTAATTCGTGATTCTAGACAACCTAGATTCATACTGTGGATAACCTAGAAGCATAAATGTATAAATGTAGTGTATCAACGGCTTAATAGACAACAAACAGACAATCTTTAATGCATGCCGAACTTTAATACTTGCCTACATGATTGCTTGGTGTACACAGGGCAATATATTTGTACCAACCCCCAATTTGTGTCAACCCCCCCCCCCCCCAGGTGCAGGCATGGCTGTCATCTATCCCCCCAGCTTTGTGAAATACTACAGACTTGGAGTGTTACACTGAAGGGCATGTTACATGTGTGCACTTGTCAGCACACAAGAATTGCATTGACAGTGTACAACCACTCATCAATGTTACACTGAATGTGCACAAAAACAACAACATTCGAACACTAGGGATGGGCCCGTGGAAGAAATAGTGTGCAAGCATAGTATTGAACTTTCATCCATGAGGGTATGGTTTAAATACATGAGGTTATATGTCACACCACCCAAGTTAAAGGGGTGAACAAACTTATAAGTTCTTTCAACCCTTGTTGACATTTTCAAGGAAAAAGCTGTAAGACCATGGTAAAGCAAAGTCTGGAAACCTGATTTGGAAATGGGGTATTCATGGATGTACACCGTAAATAAAATTTTTCGAAAATAAATGTGCACACTGACCTTGTAATGACTTGAGCCACCAGTGGTCATGTGCCCATTGAGCTGTCCATTACTGACTGCCTGATGGTGCTGGTTCCCCTCACCATTGGATGCAGTGTCATTCTGAAAATACATAGCAATAGATACAAAAAATTTAAAGAACTCATGATCCTAATCATAAATTCACCCAATATAAAAAAACAGTGCTCTTCCACTCTACCGACTGCTAAAATACTGGTGCGCTGCAAGTTACTCAGCAAAAAAACCCATCAAGAAATACACATTGAACTGACTACATACAGTGCATGTCATAGAGGTAAAGAGTGTCTCATCCAGCCATCTGTCCAGCTGTCCCAAGGACAGACAAAAATAATTGTTTATCACAGGTAGTTTTTGCTGGTACATTATGTTACATACAGTTTAACACTGGAGTACGCGAATGATATTTCCAAGCAAAATATCAGGTACAATGGAAACATGGGCTCTAGCAGAACCAGGGGAAAGCCTCATGAAGTTTGCGAGGTGATGAGAGGTGATTTCCTCTGACATTGCCTCGGAAAGGACGGGCAGATATTTCAGTCCTAGATGAAAGCCTGGAGGTGGATTTTGTAGGGTCAGTGTTTTAACATAAGTAACGAGACATTTTTGAAAACAACACGCCAGTTTACATATGGGGTACTGAAGCATGACTTCATGTGAACCAGGGCTGGTTTTTTTAATTTTTATTAATAAAAATTTAAAATTTAAATCAGAGTTTTTTTTATTTAAATCAGATTTTTTTATTTAATGAAAACTGGAAGCAAGTTGTCCAGATTATCTTTTCAAAAGCAAGCATGTTAGGCATGTGTATTAATTGTCATTCATTTCTCTCTTTTGTTACCAAATTAAACAAATTTGGATTTGAATTAAGAAATTTAAAATAAAGTAATTGACTAAATTCACAAACCACCTTGAATATTGTCTAAACCCATTTATGCAGTAGTGCCAGTACACGTACATGAACATGTACCCACAGAGACGATACTTCCTTCAGAGACAGGTGCATGCAGCAAAGTGTGTACCAGATTTAAACTGAACTCTACGTTTTGACAAAACTACAGTTCACAAGAATTTGTTCACAGGATACTTCTAATCAAAATAACTAATGAGTGAAAAACATGCCATCAACCACATGTACATGTACGTACAAAATGCTGGTATTTTACCTTGCTCTAATGTTTGCAAACAGCTGTCTCGTTTTGTGCTCCAGGTCCTTTGTGATTAACAGAGCAATGACTTAGGCTTGATTAAAACTCATTTTTATTAAGAGCAAGTTATTACTGGTTTTAGTTTCACCGCAAAATGACCTGGAAGCATTTCTGATCTCAACAAAATACATGCGTAAATGCAGAAAAAAATTGTTGATGTACACTGAAATTGCATGTGTCGGACTCTGCAGTGGGCAATTTAAATGAAGTGAAATAAATCATTAACCCTAACAGTCATCAGTCCTCCAACAAGTGAAGGATTGAGGACTGTTAGGGTTAATGTCCTGCAAATCAAATTCATTCACTGAATCCAAAAAGCTGATTTAAATCAAAACAAGGGGATTGAATTGAACAAAGAAATCCTGCCAACCCAGACTACATGTATGTGTAAAACATCTGCATTCGTACTTTTTTTCAATACTGGGAACTGAAAGGCTCACGGAGGAGGGATTTGTTGTTTAAAATGCGCAAAACCTGCAAAAAGAAAGTTGAAATCAGTTGAAAAGAATTAAAACACTGAAACGTTTTTGCCTTTTCTCAAAACAAATTAATCATGATGATTTAAATCAGTGATTTAAAAAAAAATTGTTTGATTTAAATCGCAATTTAAATCGGTGATTTAAATCAAGGTGATTTAAATTGGCCAACCCTGATGTGAACCAGTAAGTGTAGTGCCAACAAATAGAGTCCAAGTATACATGTGTGTTGGTTCATACGCTAGTTCTTGCAGCCTTCTATTGGTACACACATAATTGTGCATATTATGATATATTCACTTTGGTACTGGTAGGTCACACCGATGAATACGTAATCATGCAGGCTTTTTTGACAGGGTTGGCTGGTTTAAATCACCGATTTTAAATCGCGATTTAAATCAAATGAATTTTTAAACAAAAATCACTGATTTAAATCAGCTTCTTGGATTCAGCGAATAAATTTGATGTGAAGGATTTATATTCATGATTTAATTTCACTTCATTTAAATTGCCCACTGCAGCGTTTGACATATGAAATATCACTGTACATCAACATTTTGTTTCTGCATGTGCGCATGTATTTTGTTGAGATTAGGAAAAAACAATAAATCTGACTTTAATAAAAAAATCTGATTTCTAAATTTTTTTAAATAAAAAAAATCCCAAACCCTGATTTTTGAAGGATGGTCTACAATTCACATTGGTCATGTACACTGCAATGGACAAGCCACAGCAACTGCTGTTGCTTGACTTCATTATATTATAGTCGCCTGTTTTGTACGAGTCCATGGTGTGCAAAACCAATGGACCCCGTCACGACAGGTAACAACTATTTCGTTAAACCATGGTAACAGATTTTATGAATGCAAGGGAACAAAGTGATTTATTGTCTTCGTCTAGTCCTTTCCTCCTTGGTCTATGGAAGACCAAAAGTGGACAGACCTTACATGTATTTCTCATTTTCTGCTGGTAGATTTTCAGGTTTTTTTTTAATTTGCTATTTTCAAAAAACCTTGAATTTCTGCTCACAGAATTTGGATTTTACTATAACAACTTTCAAGGCACCCTAAATTTGGACAACTAAGAACTTCAAATTCTGACAATTTGACACAATTACTATTCTATAACAGAGCCGGTAGACTAATATGGCTCTTGGTGAGCCAGGCCTAGGAAAATTATGACTGCGTGTTAGCAAAAATTGGAATAGACAAAATGTTGCATCCTGACTCCACTTCAGAGCAGTTGTGTACAAAGTCTATGGGGAGTGAAGAGAATTTTTTATTTCCCAACAACATCGGTAAAGGTTTCTCAGTCCAGAATTCATGTCTTTCCAGCATTTCTGTAATGACCGACTTTTGTCGAGATGATACATGATGAGAAAAGTGGAGTCAGGATGCAACGTTTTAGCCATTGGAACTTGCACTGTTTCTGCCTCTGTGCACAAATTTACTGCTCAGGTTGGTAATCTTAAAATTCATTTAAACTGGGTGTGCAGTTTAGCAAGCAAAATAAATTTGAGCTAGTCTCACTCTCAGGTGACGTTGTGCCATCTCATTGATCCTTATTGGGGATGCATTTAGGGCCAAAAAAAATGAGGCCCAGGCCTAAATCATGTAAATAGGATCAAACAAATTGAAATTTTAAGCATTTGAGCATGGTGAGAGAGGCATATTTGTATCTAACAACCATGATTATGAGGCAGAACAAGAGCAACATACATGCCTTGGGCTAGTCTTTCTACGTAATTTTTCAAAATGACTAACACTGCCCATGGGGTCCGTCATTCCATGGAGGTAGGACAGAACAACGAACCCCATGCCCACGTGCCTAGCCTAGGGCCTAGCGCGTAGACTGACACAACAATACGAAATTTAGCCTACATGATGTACCTCAAGTTCTCCAATACAGTAGGCCTCCATTAATTTGTATGCATTGTTGCTGTGTCTGTGGGGATTTGCTCTAGTCATTAGAGTGGTAACATCTCTGCCGACATTATTCTGGAGCGGTTTCTCACCACCAGGATGCATGCTGGCAAAATCTGTCACATCGAACACCCTGCCATCTCTCACAACACACAGTCGGCCTGCTCGCTTCCATTCCTTCAGTTTTTCCGAACTTATGCGGCCCATGCCCCTACTTTAGCAGTTCACGTAAACAACTGTTACTTTACCTTACTGTCAGTTTAGAAGAAATGTCCAAAACTTAACCCTTTGACCATTTGACAGGCAACATCGCCAGTATTTCAACACGCACCCTACACCGCAGAGCGCTCCACAGCTAGCTGCGCTGATGATCTGACAAGCTTTAAGGCGGAGGGTTGTCGGTCAGTTCGCCCCGCTTCCATTTCGCCCCATGTCATTCTCCCCGAACAACTTCGCCCCAGTCCCAAATCGCCCCGCTGCCATTCGCCACATTTCTGCATCGCCCCAGCCGTGCTTGATTAAGGCGCCCTGTTTTTTAGGTGGCGTGGATTGACACCACTCACGTGACAATGCATTTGATGATAAAATTGGAGCAATGAAAGAAACGATATCATTCCTTTCAATTTTCATTAAAGTTTCCCGTAGTCTTCAATGGATCCCCGTACGCCTTCTCCCGGCCAACTCCATTTTAATCCTTTCGTTTGAGACATTTCAGTGTATCTATAACAAATTTGATTTGATTAACAATCCGTCCGTCGACCCAACAAAGTAGTCCGTCGACTCGCTGATTGTTGCTCATCAGTCCATCAAGTTTATTTTCGAGAACAGCTTCAATAAAGATTTTGTCAGTTGTAGAGCAAACAACAGAGACGGTGTCGTCGTCCGTTCATACGGTACGAGCGATTTAGTGCACGCGAATCCAAGAGTTGCAACGTGTTGGCCAATCACAACTCGTAAAATCTGTCGACCCTTTTCAAACGCGTATTGTGATTGGCCCATGCGTTTTAAACCGGCCAGATAATACGACTTTTTTGGAAGGAAAAGAATCCACCATGAAAATTTGAATACAAGCAGATATTACTTTATTACTTTACTTTGTCAACCTTTTGCGCAAGAGCCAGAATCAAGTACCCCGTGCATGTGTAGAGTACAAGTTACTTTGACATTAACATTGTCACATGACTATTGGAAATAACCCTATGATGACTGAACAGGACGTTTCGCAACAAGTTTGACTTGAAAGACAGACAACAAAAAATGCACATCTCCCCTTCATACTCTCCTTTAGCAATTATATTCACTTCTGGTGTCTTAAAAGTTCATAGACTTGACTTAGACAAACCAAATACCCAAATACCAGATCATGCAAATTTGGTCATAGTAATTAGACAAACGCAACAAATAAAACACTTCATTGGGTGGTAAGAGATCATCTGACCTGCGCCCGTGGTCCGGTTTAAGTTCAAGTTGACACCCGCGATTGTCGGCAAGTCGTCGCTGACTTAATTCAATGCATTGAAAACTCACGTGACTACGTATTCGGGCCCATCGCCTAGTAGCTTCAACGCCGTAGCCTACAGACCGTTAACAGGATGATGATATTTAGTATAATATTTTCCTTGGCATATTGCAAAGGCATTGTAGACAAATTGTCAACGTTGCAGCCTTCGCCTAGGTCAAACTCAGACAAAAAAATTCAACATTGGGGAGAAGTGGCGACCGTGTGAAGTAGAAATGGGTCGGAGTGGGATACAGCGAAATGGCGATGGGGCGATGTGGCAATGGGGCGATATAGTTAGAGCGAAGAGGTCTGGGGCGAGTGGAAATGGGGCGAAGTGACTTAAAGCATAATTATTCAAAGCTGATGATTATGCATCCCCTGGCCCCGCTACTGCGTGACAAGCTATGATGTAATCAACCTCGACTCCATGGGCTGCGTGCACGTGCCTCCATTATTTCGTGAAAGGCATGGTGGGAGCCAACATGAGTGGCAAGATCGTACCCATGGGAACGATGTAGAGTTGTCATGTCATTCCACTACATGGGCCATGCATGGCGCTCGGATATGGGCACTTTAATCAGGAACATGACGTATTTGGTCGCGTCCTTATTGGATAGAATTCGTTGGCACGATGACGCATAAGCTCGTGCCCACCCATACGGATGGCGGGGGGGGGACGAGCACGTTTAATGTAAAATAGACACCGACAAACCAACAGATGGCGTTCTTCAATTCATTGAAGAGCTAGAGATTGATAGTTATCTTTCGGACCACAGAATGCCATCAATGGATCTGGTCACAATCCCTCCAAAAACCTTTAGTGACACAATCATTGTTAAAACCTAGCGAGAGCCCTGAGTCCTCACTTCCCGGAATTATTAGGGGATATCAGGAGTTCTTCTTGGTGGGCTTTTCCTATTTATTTTTCGCCCTTTTTCCCTTCAATGGAGTAACCCTCTTCCATTCCATCCGATCATGGGCCCATTCGTCCCGAAGACTCCATTCCGAGGTGTTTCATGTCTTCTCTGACAGACCATCCATCTTTTTAATCGTCTTCCTTCTTCCTTCTCCTAGATTCATCCGATTCCTCTATCCTTAAAGGGTCTCCCCTTCCATTCCACATGTCCAACCAAACTCCCCCTTTCTTTCTTTTGCGTTCTTCTAAATGCCAACCACTCCTTTCATTTCCTTGATGCTCTTGTTGGTCTTCTTATAAAATCCACTTCAAGATTCTATTGTCTGTTATTCCAGTGCCCACGTATTTCAGCACCGTAAAAGAGCACTAGCTGGTCGAAGGACTGTCTCATATTTGGTCGTCATCTTCAATGGAGATTTCAGATGATGTGTGAAATCTTAGGTTAGTTTTAAGAGACACGCATGTGTTTTTTCTCTTTATCTCTGTTCTGTTCCTTCTTCCTTTCCCCCACTTTTTGTGTTGTGCATGCATAGATCATTAGCGAAAAGTCCAAAGGTAGCGTGGTGTAGGTGTATTAGGCTTCGGCCAATAAATAAGGGGACAAATGATGTGCTTGGCCAGTCTAAAACGTACGTTTGAGACTGGCTCAGGGGGTACAATGCTCGGGCCGCAGGCGAGGGCATTATCTGCGTCCATGCAAGACCGACTAAGCATTATTTATTCCCATTGATAAATACCATTTTAGTGAGAGAGTCAACAGAATTCATTATACGATACATTTCCAAGGATACTGCTCAAGAATTTTACTTTCATTTTTCCAGACACCCCAGTCCATTTTATGTTTTTTTCCTCTTGCGAGTAGTCCAGAAGAATCTCCTTTATTATTATGTGGACTTGGCGCGCGAGCGTACGCGGCCACTGAGTTCTGCGTGCCGTGGCGCAGAGTTTGATCAGTCCTGTTTGGAGGTGACTTCGTCATACACGCGGACGCGCAGCTGATAGCAGGCTCTCATTGGACGAACGCTGAAGTGTGTAGTGGGCGTGGTGTAGTGGACGTCACACTCGTACTCACGAACTGGATAGCAATGGATTAACTGTCTCGTATCCAGGTGCCAGATCGTATTTTCAGCAATGACATTATCAAATCTCAGTGGGCATTGTACTCTGTCACGTTGTCTTGGTTAATGATTCTTAAATCAGTTCACGGACCAGGCGGTCTTTAGACTGTTAACGTACAACCATTTTTGTCGTACTCTTAGAGGACAAACATTATGGAAACCAACCGCACCTCTAACCCGGCGATTCACAATAGTGCGCCTCCAAGAGTTTGCAGCACGTTGGCCAATCACGATGCGCGGAATCTGTCGACCCAATGTGCGTTTGAACAGGGTCGACAGATTTTGCGCGTTGTGATTGGCCAACGCGTTGCAAACTCTTGGATGCGCACTGGTGTGGATCGCCCGTATTATTTGCTATTATGATATTTTCTATGGTTGTGGGTTTCATTTAATTTCAAAGTTCAGTAGATTAACTCATTAAATTTTTAATTATCCGCCTAAAGCAAACTCACCCTTCCCCCAAAAGTGAACGTTTCAAAGTCTGCCAGCAACCATTTTTCAAGTGACACCCATCCACTTTCTGCTCGGGCTCTTCGGACATTTATGGGGCTAACAAGTAACGTTACTGTTTAAAAGACTTCTGTGAGCCTATACCTGCAACTCAAGTCATGTCTAATTTGGAGTATAGAGCAGATTTCATCATAGGTATACCGCCCTCAAAATAATGTTGAATCAGTTCGTCTCTTACAAAAAATATTAAGGAATTAAACATTGTAAATAATTTATTATTTACATTCAATTCTGGGGGATATCGTGCAGGGACAGACAGAAATATTACATAGACTATAGGCCTAACGTCAGGCCGTTAATGAGTAAAGTTACGTCTAGAGTAAATAAGTTATCAAGAACAACAATCTACCTTAACAAAAGTCTATTTTGTTAATTTATTTATGGAGCCAAAAATGGTATTATTTCATATACACGTCACTTTACCGATGTCAGCCTTTAAAAATAAAAGGATATTATTTTTTCTTTTAAGTGGAGTTCGGCGCAACTGCAAAAATGAATACATCTTCTAGTTCTACTGCTAAAATGAGAGTCAGGCATGGTGGATCGATGGAACAAGTACATGTGAAACAATCAAGGGTCAAAGTTAAAAATAACAATGCGCAAGCGTGACAAAAAAAAGGGCGACGGACGACGGGCGACGCGCGACGGGCGATGCACGACGGGCGACGGAAAATGGCATGTTTGGAACTGGTAAATGGCAGAATTGGGACACAACAAAAAGCAAAGGGCGAGGGGCGACGAATTCCACAAACTCCTTTTTTTGGAAAAAAAAAGTACGGATAAATTTTGAGCTCCTCGTCCTGGCCGAGAATTTTCCTTGAATTCGGACAGTGCACCTATGCATCATGGGCGCATGCAGCGCCATTAGACTAGAAGGGCGCCTCACTCGGTACCGGTAAGAGTTGGATAATAATATAGAGGGCGTGCTAATAGTGCATTACATCCGGGACGTTCTGTCTCGTTTCCAGGATCAACAAACAACGTTTTGCTAAGGTGGTATGGTGTGCCCAAGTTGATGGTTTGTTCTGATTGTTGGGCCAAGGATTCACGAAGTTAGCATAATCTTGGTTAACCAAAATGGTAAGCTGTTAAAAAGAGACAGGTCGTCGTATTTTAAACGATAATTACTGTTAGCTTGTTTAATGTTTTCTTCAACTTCAAGGCCACGAGAATAGAAGTTGTAACTGTTACATGTATGTAGGCCTTTAGGCATGTTCAGGCCTTGATTTGCGTCCTAACAATTTCAGAAACACAGGCATTTTTTTCATTTCTGACATTAATTATTATATTTCAACCTCCATTAGGCCTACAGACACTTTCAAGTATAATAATGCCAACTACATCCAAAAGCCTTGCTGAAAGACGAACTACATGTAGGCTACTTCGAGAACTCTAAGTCACTAAGCATGAACTCCGTGATACTTTGTGTGACTTGGAGGAGACAAGGTTTACATGGCGTCGTAACGCTGTGGGGTTTTGGAATTGAATTTTTGTGGTGAAATGGTTCACAGCCGTAAGAAACCAATGAAATCAAATTTTCCCCTGTAACCTGCTTGATCTATACCTCCTACAAAGGGGATAACAAAAGTTTCAGAGCATGAGACGGAGTAATTTTTTTTTTTTTGATGAGATTTTTGCTCATCCTTTTTGCTTCCACCTGTTGACTGTCGCTCCGTTTATGCCATTCGTGTTTATCAGCCTGCGCATGCGTTGAGCCCACCAATGACCGCACCTGCTTCGCATCTTGGTTCGACCATTTCGGTGGCGGGGGATGACATCTTGTGTTGTTTTCATCATGGGACCGTCCAGGCTGCTGCTGTGACCTGGAAACACACATCGAGCAAGACGCGCGACATGTGCTGCACTTTGTAAGTATAGCTGGGACAAATACAACACAAGATGTTATCCTGCTACGGAAAATGGTTGAACCAAGATGCGGAGCAAGTGCGGTCATTGGTAGGCTCAACGCATGTGCAGTCTGATAAACATGAACGGCAAGAACGGAGCGACAGTCAACGGGTGGAAGCAAGAAATTGGTGAGCAAAAATCTTTCTTTTTTTAAAAATATTCCATCTCATAATCTGAAATGTTTGTTATCCCCTTTGTAGGAGGTATAGATTAAGCAGGTATGTTGACAGGTGAAAATTTGATTTAATAGCTTTCTTACGGCTGTGAACCATTTCACCAAAAAAATTCGATTCCAAAACCCCATAGCGTTATGACGCCATGTAAACCTTGTCTCCTCCAAGTCACACTGAATATCACAGAGTTAGTGACTTAGAGTTCTCGAAGCACATGTACATGTAGGCTCTTCATCAGTTTATGGATCAGGGGTCAAATTGAAATAGGCTAGGTCTAAGGATCATCACAACAAAAAAGACCTGCAGTAAAACGTAAACAAATGTGCAAGCCAATCCAACGCATGTGAGTCGGCCATACATGTACAGACATCTGGATGTACAAAAGCAATATAAACTAAGATAAGTATGGATGAAATGCATAAATATGGTGTTTTATACAGCTGTTAGAAGTAGAAGATTTGGAACTCTGATTTTCGTGATTTTGTATCATTTTCCTACAAATAGGCCTAATGGAATTTTTATTGAATTTTTTTTTGTGGGGGGGGGTTGATGGTGTCAAAACATGCAAGTGGTTACCCCAGAACTGTGGGGTCTGACACCCACACCGCTCCCATGTTTGAATAGCGTGGTAGCGAGTGGTGGATGCAAATCTACAACGTTTGTTCTCAACATTTGGGATTCAGTGGGAATCAAAGATTACTTTAACAATTAAGGTGGTAAGGTTTACTCACATATGGGATAAAACGAGAAATTTTCCGTTAAAATCAGAAACGTTTTTTCAGCCGAGCTTCAAAGTGGCCATGTTCATATTGCATTTAAACTGTATGTTAATGTCGTGGAGAGGAGGTCAGGATGCACCGGTCCAGCAGACCATGGTTGACAAAACATACGGTGTCGAAAGGGATGGTTGAAAACAAGATTCCATCGCTTCTTAAAATATGCAGTGATTTCAAAAGATCGTTACCAGCAGGCCAGCGAAATGGGCAGATATTTTTCATATTCATGTGTAACAGTGAACTGCATTTAAAGTGATTTTTTTATGTTTTCTTGAAATTCAAAAAGATCCACCAATGATATGATTTTTGGAGAAAAGAGATTGATTTTTCTTACCATGTGCTTTCATTGGGTGGTTTCAGTCTTTAAAATCTTGATTTAATGACATCACATTCAAGCACATTTTTGTAGCAGGCCTTCACACACTTGGATGTGACAAATATAAATATGACATCATCTTATACATGTAAATGTAGATATGCTCTGTCACTTAATACCAAGTGCAGCTATTTTCTGATCACGATTTCTCATCTGAATTTTGAGTGTTGGGGGAACAAAATGAAAGTATGATTTTCAGTGATTTTGACCTCACAAACTTATTGAACATCTCACCTATGGAGTCAAGAAAAAGTTTACTATAATGGCGCATGTGAATGTGAACGCGGAAATAATCAGTTATCAGTGTCATACCTTCTTGAATTTCTAGAGAAAATCGCACATTAACATCTTGGAAGTTACCGACATTATGTGCAGCACTGGTGTTTGTGTTTGACAGATTATTTTAGGATATGGTCTGATATTGCATGTCACAGCTTTGGGAATATATAAAACACTCAATCTGTATTGGTCTTTTTTATGCCGATTTCAATTGTTACATTTCATACTGTTCTTATGATTAGCCTCCCAAGAAGAAAAGTGGAAAAAAGGGAAAGAAAAAGAAGTCAGCCAAGGCCAAGACACCGACTGTCATCGATGGCATCTCAACAGAAGAAATGTCCAAAGAGCAGGTATTTACATCTACATGTATGATGTTTTCAAGTAAACCAGAGTCAGCTATCAAAAGCTGTGTTAAATGTTTACTCCACGCTTACTATTAGCCAAAATAGTGTGCTAAAGATTAGCGTGTGTCATAGGTTTACAAGGAATATGAGCTTGAGCACATGTTTACATCTTTTGACCTAAGGATTCCTTGCATACAGACTTTGTGCAATATCTGTTCTGGGCCCAATTTTATGGCACTGCTTAACGCAGAATTCCACGCTTACGATCTCCGTCCTGTGCTTACCGCCCTAGCAGAAAGATTCTGCGCCAACCCTATAAGTATAGAATCCTTAATTACAAGATGTACGCATGTGCACTAGCCAAAATTCCTTGCTAACCCGTGAAATGTTAGCCGTAAGCACGAAATTTTCTGCTACAGTAAGCGCCAATTTTTCACTTGTGGTAAGCAGCGCCGTGAAACTGGGCCCTGGTTATTATAAACACAACACAACAAAGCGTAAGGAAAACCAGTGGGTACCGTGCCTAGTTCACCTCTCCTCCTCAAAAGTTTCCTTTCTTCATGACCATGTATCCATCAAGCTGGAGGAGCACATCGGCCGTCTCAGGGAGGAACTGGACAGAGAGAGAGAGGAAAGAAACTACTTCCAGCTAGAACGAGATAAAGTCAACACATTCTGGGAGATTACCAAGAGGCAGCTGGATGAGTTACGGGCAGAGTTGAGGAACAAAGACAGAGAGATGGAAGATGCAGAGGAAAGGCATCAGGTGGAAATCAAGGTACTCAGACTCAGTGTAATGAAATCAGAGGACTCGGTGTAATTGAACTGGTCTTTATTTGCATTGTCAATTGGCTTTATGCTTAGAAAACTAAGCAAGAGTTTTCTGCTGACTGTTGAGCCCTGGTCAGCACTGTTTCAAAGTCCTGTCCATCCCTTCTCAGGTGTACAAGCAAAAGGTGAAACATCTATTGTATGAACACCAAAATAATATATCCGAGCTGAAAGCTGAGAGTGCGGTGGCCCTGAAACTTGCTCAGGACGATCATCGAGGACAAGAGGGTGAACTCCGGAAAGACAAGCGCTCTTTGAAGGTCACACTGAAGGAACAAGAGCTGTCACATGAAGACATCATCAAGAACCTCAAAATGGTAAGCGGTCATTGTCTAGAAACCCTCTGCCTTTCAGAAAATGAAAGCTCTGCCTGGCTTCAAAGTGTGTAAAAACTTTCTGCGGTCTCGTTGAGGGACCCAGGTGCAAAAAATACACCATGTGTATTCTCTGTCCCAATATTTTGAGGCCAAGAAAAAAAGTTGATACCAAGATGCTGTGATCTACTCTGTATTAAATCTCCCTCAGTGTAGCTTCAGAAATGCCAAAAAAAAATCCCGGCAAATCGTATCTGATGTGAAGTTTGTGTTACCTTCGTTTCTCGTTGATGATTCAATTTCAACCAGTGCCTGTGGCAGTTTGTTTCAAGATTTTTTAATAATGTCAAATTTTCGAGCTTTCATACTGTTTCATCAGAAATTTAATAAAATCAGGGTCCCTAGGGATAATAACACCAATTATGCAAAGTTGCCGTAATGTCCTGGCTGTGACTGGGAAGCCTTTCACGATGATTACAGTTTGGGACTGTTACAATGCAGGAATTATTATTGTAATTAAAACCTACAGAAAAGTGACGAGAAGGTGACCAATTTGAGAACCGAGTTTGAGAGGGAAGCTAGAGGTAAGATGTTGTTGCTAATGAGTCATTTCATCACTGCTTTCATGAAGAGACAAAAGTCTATCCAAAAAGTAAAATCCAGGTTTCGAGAAATTCGCATTTAAAGTTGGTCTCTTTTGCAAATGATCATTTCCCCAAGACTTGACTTTCCCTCGACTATGAAAAACGCTACCTCAGAAATATCAGATCTTAAATGACACAAAAACCACAAAATCATATTTATTGTAAACATTACATTTGTCTGTTCATGAAAATGCTGGATTTCGTGTGCATTTTGTCTCTTTGTGAAAAGGGTCCCTGTTGGCGAGTGCCTGGTGCAAATTGTTACATTTGTATACATTGCCTGAGTCACTTTTTTCCTCTTTGTGAAAACAAATTTTGCCCACGGTTTTGCCCTTTAATGGTAACGTTATTACCATCAAGGACTCCTTTCTCTCATGAAAATGGCAAATGCGGATTAAGTTGCATTTTGCCCATCGAGATCATCGTGATTTGGCTGATTAGAGTATGTTTGGTAAAAAATGTTTACACCACCGCATAGGCAGCAGTTAACCTTGCTGATTTAAAACACAGAAATTGAAAAAATTTGCGATTTGGGGCAGTTTTCTGACAATTTCTTCATTTGCAGTAATACCATCTAGCTAACAATAAACTGTGCATAGATAAACATTCGGTACACATTGTACACATACCAGTCTGAGAATTGTAATGAAAATGTTTGCCGTGAATCCCACATTAACATTGCTCCTAACATTAACAGGGATATCAAACATTCAAAAGAAGTTCTTCAAGATAAGTGCAGTGGTCGGTAGTTTTGAAATCTCAGAGTGCAGTTTATCCGAAGATTCCATTTTGTTGACTACTTGATCTTGAAGCTGACTTTTAGATATCTCAGATACATGGTTTAATGCACGCTTGTGGCCATGTTGGAAAGAAATACCCTCATTAAAAAAGACCTGCATGCTTCTTGGAAAAGAAAATGGAATGTGTGACCTAAGATTTGTGTGAAAAAGAGTTAGAGTGAAGACGCCTCGAGCAGAAGCACCCCCTCATCGGTTGAAAAAGAGCCGCATTGGTCAGAAGTACTCATTTTGTTGGCTGCGATGCAACTGCAACGCTTCCATTTCGCAGTAGTTTGTGAACCAGTGACACGCAGTTACATGTAATACCAAAGGAGCCTTCGTTGCTAAGGAAATAGTGCCCTCTCTTTGCCCATATGCATTGTTTTAGGATAGCTGTCAAACCTCACTATGGATTGTTAAATTTTAATTTTTGTAGAAATTGAAAACAAATATGAGCAGAAAATGCGTCAGCTGCGGGAGGAATTAGAGCTCCGAAGAAAGACGGAAATCCATGAGATAGAAGAACGCAAGAACAGCCAGATCAATACACTGATGCGCAACCATGAGAGAGCATTCAGTGATATCAAGAACTATTACAATGACATCACTCTCAATAACCTAGCTCTCATCAACTCACTCAAGGTATGTCTAGTGATGTACATTACCTGATATGAAAAGAAAAGATGAACAAACAAACTACAACTGCAGTTTTTTTAGTTTCTGAGTATTTCTGATTGCAAAGACTGTCAAACTAAAAGGCATGCAAAACTGGAAGCCTTCGGACCCAGGCCAAAATTAGCATTCGGTTATTTAAATGATTCTGTTTACATAGAAGGAATACCATCATTTATATTATTGTTATTCGTGAAGTTAAACTTGTGATAAATTGGGGGGTTTCATCGTTTTTATGTTGATTTGTGTGCTCAAAAAATGACAGCAGAGCTATTGGCTTTATACCCAGCAAGAAATGAGACCGAGGGGTACCCCCCCAACATGTCCAATCCCTATACCTATTCCAGACTATTGTTACTTAACACATCCCCCCCAAGATGTCTGAAAGGAATTCCCCAGATTCCTGCGAGACAATGACCAACACAAAGCAGGGGAGGGGTCTCCCCGTCTCATACCTCGCTGCATATGATTGGCTTCACATTTCCCTCTAATCTGCATGTATGTCATGCCAACTTTCTGCCGTCAGGAACAAGTAGAAGAAATGAAGAAGAAAGAGGAGAGGATGGAGAAGCAAATGAATGAAATCCAACTGGAGAACAAACGTCTGAAGGAGCCGCTGGAGAAAGCTAAGGAGGAAGTGGCAGAGTTGACCAGACAGCTCGCCAACTATGAGAAAGACAAAGCCTCACTTGCCGTAAGTGTGCTAGATAGGATTGCTGTCGTATCGTGTGACATAGGATTACTGTTACCTAATGCCACGTCAGGTTGCTTTTTAGTTGGAAAAAAAACACACAATTGATGATTATCTGGCTTGAGAAACTACTTGAACGTACTGCTTTGAATTTTCAAATGCATATGGCCAAATCAGGTTTGTTTTTGACTTGACTCTATCTTCTGCATGATAGTGGTTGCTTCTTGATGAATACAGTTCGGTGTTTTGAACCGAGAGCAGAATGGTTCAAGGGACTCACTCTCTTAGTGTCATATCTGTGACAACCTGGCTTTACGCTGTTCTGGTCTCTCTATAGAGTGCAAAGGCCAGGCTGAAAATTATGAGCCAAGAGTACAAGGACTTGGAATGGGAGCATGAAGTGCTGGAACAGAGGTTTGAAAAAGTAAGTAACTGACTGATAGGACCAGTCTATTTAATAGTGTGGAGTTTGCTATGGAAATGGGAGACTTTGAGACACTTGGTGGCAGCAAACATATCGGTCCTTATTACCACTTCTGAGCATGTACTTATTGTTCTGAGCTGCCCGATACTGTGAAAAAGGAACAGTCTGTCTGCTGCCACCAGTGTCTCGAAGTCTCCCAACGTGCTGTGTGGCATTACTGCGGAAAACAAGCAGTGAAATACACTTTGTATGTGCACACTGTCCACAATCGTTAAGTCAAACGTCTGATTTTTAACTGAATGTACACAAACACTTGACAGTGATTATACATCTGAGCTTGGGGCACTGGTGGGATGGAGCCTATGTGTCATCCATTCATAGGAATGGTTTATGTTAGTGGTACATTTATGGAAATACTGTGAAATATTAAAAATCATTGCCTTATTTTGTATGAAAATGAAAGTGTTTGAACCAGTGACCAGCTAATACGCTTGTAATTAAAAGATGTGAATTCAAACAGCATTGAAGAGGTAAAGGCTTACACAACCTGGTAAACTCATCAGTAGATGGGCTTTTCATTTCCTTTTATCAAAATTCATTGCCACTTTAGATGCAGACAGAACGAGACGACCTCTATCGTAAGTTTGTGAAAGCCATCCACGAGGTTCAGCAGAAGAGTAACTTCAAGAACCTTCTGCTGGAGAAGAAACTAACAGCCTTGACGGACACACTGGAGAAGAAGGAAGCTCAGCTTAATGAAGTCCTGTCAGCATCCAACCTGGACCCCACAGCACTGACAGTGGTAACCAGAAAGTTAGAGGTAAGAGTTTATGTTGATGCCAGTACACAAATGCATACTTTTTTTCAGTCACCAGCATGCACACAAACAGGCATGTATCTTAAAAGCAGGGCTGAACAAAAAAGGGTGTGTTTTTAAATGAAACTGACAGTCCTTTGGTACCAACTCATCGCGTAGGCGCGCAAGTTTATGCACCTTTGATGCGGAGCACGCTGAGTATGTACAATAAATTTAATTCTGGAATGTATGGTCTTCGTGTGCACGCCGAAAGCGTGCAAGAACCCGGTTAGAAAATTTCCTACCATCTGTCTTTCTTTCACCAGTTAGGGTGCACTTCGACTCAGGGGAGATTCTGTTTCCTGTTTCTCATAATTTTTTTATCTCATAGTTTTTTATGGTCAGGAACTGTGTCTACTGGAATGAATACCTTTGATTTGAGATTTCAGTCAGATAGCATGTCATTGATGATGGATTTTTATTTATACTTTGCCCGTTTCATGCAGGATGTACTTGATTCCAAGAACAGCGCAATCAAAGATCTCCAGTATGAGCTCGCTCGCGTTTGCAAGGTAATGAAATGAGTGTCATTAAAGTCACATTCCATTAGACTTGGAGGACAGAAAGAAATTGTGTAACGTGTAGAGATCTGGTCTGTCCATAAAAAAGCATGACTGTATTAGTTGGTAACCAAAGATCGTATAGCGTCGAAGGCGCAAGATGGATAACTCTGCCCAAAAGGTGTAATCACCATAGGCACCATTTGAGCAAGCGATACGCCTGTGCAGTTTACAGTAATGCACAGGCGCAGGTGCATCAGGTGTAGGTGCCTGCCGCGACACCTGCCTCTGCGCCTGCGCCTCAATGTGCATTGCACAGGCATATCGCTTGCTAAAATGGCGCCAATATGATTACAACTCTTTACGTGTATTCACGGTGAAGTTCTCCATCTTGCGGCGCTATACGATCTTTGGTAGTAACTAACCGAGAAACAGAGACTGTACCTTTTCAATATGTTCCTAAGGCCAATAAAAAAAATAGTTTGTCTCTGGTCAGGCTGATGTTCTGATGAATCAGTGCGGCGACACAGCTTTTTTTTGTTTCTTTTTTCTTTTGTACAATCCGGGGATGGATTGTACAGACAATAGCAGACACATGTTGTTGAGTCAGGGGACTAGAACAGCTTTATTATGATTATAAACTGACAACAAACAACTTCGTATCCATAGTCTGCTATCATTGTTCAACATTGATCTCGTCAGTATCTACCACCCTGAGTAAAAGTTCATGCTGCTCTCAAAATGTCGGTGCAGTGCAGCAACAGAGGGCGCTGTTGCGTTGCTGCTCTCGCTGAGAAAAAAAGAAAAAAAAAATCAACATGCACACTGACTAGAGACGAACGACTTTGGGGGGGCCCAACATGAAAGGCTTTATTTAACAGCTGTAATAATTTTGCGATAGTTCTTGGAGCAATATCACAAATGCATTTCACTTTTCTTCCTCTTGTTTCATTCTTTTAATGCAAATGCAAACACATGTTTAAAATTGCAGGCGCATAATGATCTTCTACGGACCTATGAGGCCAAGTTGACATCATTTGGTGTTCCCATTGAAGAGCTCGGATTCAAACCCTTAGAGAGTACAGTTGGAGGCCAACAGCTAGGCCAAGGTCCTGCAGGATTGGTAGCTGCACCAACATAAAAATGGGTCGTCATGCTGAATAGCCAGGATTTGAATAAAACATTATTGCACCTCATATATATTCATGAACTGACATTATGACATCCCTGGAATAGTCATGATACATGCATAAAGATTGAATAGCTTAAAGTTCTGTTATCAGTGCCATTGACATGTTCATGTACTTTTCTGTACCGTTCATATCACACTCAAAAACAGTTGACTGTCTTTATATACTTGGGCTGCATCCGAATCTGTTGTCTAGAGCTAGGTCTAGGTCTTTCCTCCCATCGGAAATACGTGGCAATGCTCAGACAATAGACCTAGCCATAGCTCTGGAAGCCCGTTTCAAACACAGCCGTAACTGGATTTATAGGACTTCTTATAGCTGCCTGAATATCTACGCAGGCAGGGTGAAATAATTTTAAACGCTGTTGTTGATTACGCGATTTCCCTTGATACCAAGGGAAACTGAAGCGATCAGCTCGTCAGCTGTGTGTGAATAGACACTGTCCAGCCTTCCTGTATGGTTGAAAGGACTACATCAAAAGTGCATTGTTCTTCACTCAGTATTACTAATGTCCTTCGTCACTCCTATTCACAACGTTGCATGGAAAGTGGAGACAAAATGTAAGAGCAGGTTTGGCTTGCGGGTGATCCTCAGAGGAGCCCCCAGGTCAACTAAACTATCAAGGAGTGAAGCAATCAGTCCCACACATCATTTATCAATGCCCTTGTAAACGTATGGAAAGAAATGTCATCGGTTGACGAAATCCACTGTTTATATGTTAGATCATTAAAGCACCGCTGCCGCAATGGACGTTAACTTTAATATGTAAAAATGCATTCTTAACAAAGTTGTCCTATCAAAATCAGTCAAATAACCCCAACATGTGTCTCTGTACTGTGGCGAATCGAGTGGTAGGATTTTTGACTGTTACGGCAAAAGTCAAAATAAAACGTGGGTGGTTTTCGTAGATGTCTGATATTTAGCAGTGGTTGTCATTGGACGTGCATGTTCATGTACATTTTACCATGAAGCTCATTATAATGAGGAATGTGCATTTTGTGTTAATGCCGGCATGATATGTGTATAAGCTAGTGTTGAAAAAAAAATCAAGAAATAATAAGGCGTTTAGTACGCAGGACTTGCTCTTCAGAATCTTCTCTATTCTTGTCAGCACCTGCACATAATTTTATGCATCATGCACCTGTGCCCGTCGTACAGGAACGTGTTGGCATGAAACCTTACTGTGATTTAAAAATGACGGTTAAAGTTACTTGGCTATCGAACTGTCCAATGTCCAGTATCCTGCCTTTTGGTGCTACATATGAGTGATTTACAAAAATGCAGTGTGCAGGATAACAATTGGCATTGGAAGTTGGAGAAATGCAGTTTTAAAAATCAAAGCATTTGGAAAAACTGTTGTTTGTACAAAAGTGTCATGTACATAGAACTGCTCTCTTCTTTAGTTTTAAAGTTAAGTAGTTTGTATGAAAAATAAAAATGCTCCAGTGTGAACCCCAATGTCGTGCTGTCCTTCTGTAAATTATGATGAAAATAACAGAAATATGTGTATTATATAAACTTAAAGCCAATGGTAGAAGCACCTTCCTGTGCATGTGATATCCAGAAATTGTAAAAATGGACATTTCACCGAATGGCTATTACATGAACATGGTGTGGTCAGAACAGGTTGAACATGGCTTTGTAATCGAGATTTATCATTCCGCTCCTTTCCAACACCAGCCGATGATTAGGGTCCTCCAGTTCAGTGAGATTACAGGACCAGTTTAATAAAGGCCAGTAGATCTGCTTCAGTGGTAATGGCCGTTTGAACATTATCAAAACATCATTCATTCTTGTGCCAGTTGTGGTTCGACTGGATTTCATCTTTTTTTTTTTTAATGGCAGCGGGATCAACTGACTGACTTCACTGCTTTCAACACGGTTGTTAATTTTGGGGTTGGTTGGTCAGTTGTACAATGTGATTGGGTTAGCCTTTTTTATTTCCCGAAGCGATTTTTCGGGATTTACATCACTCTTTTAAATCCTTTCATGATGTCGACACCATACCTCAACATGGAAATTTTCAAAAGTCAAGATATTGACAAAATGGTTGTCCCTTTTAGGGGTCCAAGGTGTCAAGCGATACATGCTCACTCCAGCGGCCTGGCCGACCGCTGCATCGGCCTCTAAGTTGTTCGATACAGAAGTTCTACACTGATTGAAACTTAAAAGCCCAATGATGAAACAAGGATTGGAGAATACTCGCTTTCTTAGGAGTATGTACATATCACTGTTCATAACACATAGGAATTGCCTGCACGAAACTTACTATAGGAATATATCTTATCATTACTCCCAACTTACATGTATAGAGTCCCACTTCTGCCCTGCTTCTGCCAATGCGCTATGATTCAATTGTTAATTTCAAGTTACTTTATTTATTTATTTTTTTGGGGGGGGGCTTATAATTAGGAAACACTGCTTAGCCAGTTTACACGCTTAGCTTAAAGTCAGCGGGGAGCCTGTGACAAGCCGTTATGTATACAGGCCTATATATGCATTTTGGGTGGTAACCCCTTGCTAAATATTTCTGTGCTGAGCTAATTATTGTGTAAGCTCTCAGACACGAGGCTCACACACACGAGGCTCTCCCATACCACTGGTCTGTGATATCCGCGTTGGACTCTTTAACACCTTGTAGGTCAGACCTCCGCAACTTGCCCCCCTCCGACGGATATTTTCGTTTTTTTACTTTTACTATTGGTGAGTAGGAAAGAAAGTAATTGGTATACCTTTAACTTGAATATTAGCACCAGAACCCAAGGAAAGCAACGCCAATAAAAGCAAGGATGTCAGGACGGTGAGTTTTTGATATTTTTTCTCTCCCAACGTCATGTTGAATAACCTGAACCCACATTCGCTTTTGAATTTTCCCCCCACGCCAAAAGCTGGATACGTCACGTCACTGTCCCGCCTACACACTCTATCAACTTTGTTATCTAGGCTTATTGAGCAATTCGTCAATAGCCGTATTCCGAGGGCACTCAACAGATCAGTGATCGATAGTTGTTTTAAATCTGTTGAAGAGCGCCCTCGTACAGTCTAATTATGAGTCGTTAGGGAGCACACTATGCACGGTGTCCGCTATCAAGCACTAACGTCTTGAAACCAAGACTACTCAACAAAAGGCATGAAACTCATATGTGGTTCGTAAGTGACTTCGTCAGAAAGGCGGACGCGCCACGATTCGCAGACTCCCATTGGACGATCGCAGAAGTTGCGCGTCAACTTCTGGTTCCATGGTTCCCGGCCACATAAACGGCGATCAATACATGTAACCCTATGTGCAGTGCACGTATACTCCATACGTAGGCGTGGTTTAAACTGAAGTGACGTCACACTTACGAACCGGATATACTAATGTAGTCGAGTCCATCGCAACTCCTCCCAAGTCCGTCACAAGTCACCCGATCAACTCACAAGCTTTATCGCTAACTGTACATTCTTAAGAATAAGTTTACTGAATAGGGTGACGTCACAAGAGTGGTTTAAAACAAAAGTATCCCATTCTGTACTTCCTTGCGACTGAACTTGTAAACGCCGGGGGTTGTGGTGGAACTCAACTGCAAACTGACCCAGCCATGCCTGGCGGGAAGGGGTCACCCCAGGGTATCAATTCTAGCAACGCTTATAATTCTGGCATCCTTGGTGTCCAACAATCACTCACAGTCATCAGTCGTCGATGCAAACAGTAGTTTGTCAGAAACTCTTTTTAAGATTCAAGATTAACATTTCAAATTATTAATTCAGCTGTCCATCCGTAACATCTGTCCATGCAAAACAGAAATGTGGCCTCCACTGGTCGGCCACTGCTGCTGCTTGGTTGCAAGTCGATAAAAACAGTACAAACGTAGATGATAACAATATTCACAATGCACATTTTACATGTACATTATTCTATCGTGGTGACAGGTCCAGGCGTTGAGTGCAACAGAATTGAACTCCAGCAATCCAGAGATTATTGAGTGCGCCTGCCCAGAAAGAGCCTGTAAATTCCTGCGAGCGATGGCCTTGCAGAACAGGGAAAGGGAGGGGAAGTGGTGGAAGGAGGGGGCTATCACAGTTCCAGTGAGATGGGGGTGGTTTTGACTATTTGGAGGAGAGAAAAAAGTACTTTCATTTCGTCACCTTTGAAATAACTACTCAATTAAACGCACAAGAAGTCTTGCTAATGTTCTCTGTAAAAGCTCAAACTTTAATTACATTTCATTGATTGTAGTGTATTGTTTAACCCTATACAGTCCCAAATCCTCCATTTTCAATATGATTTTTACATACACCCTAGGGGTTTGGGTTATAATGGTTTTGTAGTCACCTACAGTCATTTGTTTACCCTCATACCTGAGCCAAAAATGTATCTTTATTTACTTGTGAATCATTTACCGGCTTTTAGCAGTTCTAAAGCAAGATACGATGTGTGTGTTATCAGGGTTGAAATGTTAGTAAAGCTGTTTTAAAGGAAAAAAATTATGTCATTTTCCGAAGAACTCTGTACTTTGTGCCCAATTAATGAGTTTCATGATAAAACCTCCAAGGCTTGTTGCTTGTTCAGGCAGTAGAAAGGTTGAGTGTTTTGTTATTCGCACAAAAAAAGTTGTTCGGCCATAGTCCTGTATTACCGTATTTGTTCACATAAACTTGGTCAATATTAATAAGTGTGTGTATATTTAGATGCAGGACAGAATAGAATACGAGTTTTCTATCAGTAATTGAGAGATCTGTTTACATACAAACTAGGCCAGCCGTTTTCAGCTTTTGTTAGTATTACGTGCCCTAGAGTAGTGTACATCAAGTTCCGCCCGTCCGGAAATCAGGCAATTTCTAAGCATTCACGCCCACTTTTTGAAGATGATTGCGTCGGCTGCAACTTTTGGCCGCTATTTGTGGCCCTGCGCCCTACGACACAGCAAAAGCCTCCTCGCTAGGTATTGTATGGAAATCCTCACTGTTACAATGAAATTTCTGGATATTGGATTAATAAAAAACTTGCTCTTTTGTAGACTTTGGCTCGTTTTACCAGGGGCTTATACGGGCTTGTTTAACCTCATGCTGGGTTATATTACTATTCATGCATAGTTCCCTATTCTGTCAGGAGTGAAAACCTAACGCACTACACAAAAATAGGCCTATTATTACTTTTCTCTTGACACCAAGTGTAGGTTGTCATGCCCCATAGAAGGGACGTTTCCAGACAGACCTTGTTTGGAGTCTTCAAAATGGTGGGATTTTTTTACACATGTATTCCCCCAAATTTGTAGGTTTATCAAATTGTCGTAATCCTTTTGTTAGGCGTAATGTTCTTTTTGTTCTCAAAGGCCAACTTGTTTTTAGAATTTTATTGTTCACATTTTCGCAAAAATATTATTAATAAGAAGTTTTGTGAAACTGAAGTTTTCTAAGTCTTTTTGAGAGTAATCCTACTTACCATTGGACTTGCGAAGGATAAATAACTTTTACATATTTCTCGGGAGTTTTCTAGCCCCAGATTTCGATGCAGTGCGTGATTTGTAATGGAATTATCCTAAAGATTTGTCCCACCCAATCGCGTTCCTCATTCCAGCCGAAGTCTCGCCACGCCATCGGCTCATCCTTACGCCGCTAATCAGCAGGCACGGGAGGACCTTGCGGCAGCCTACCGCGGACTGGACTTCTACGGGATGGGGGAAGGGATATGCACCCATCTGACAACCAGGGCACCTCCGCGGAGCGGCAGCGGGGACATGATGCTGCTGATACCCTACGGCTTGCACTGGAGTGAGGTATGCTGGGCTGCCTTAGTCTGCCAACTGTAGCTTGCAGAGGGATACCTTTAGATTCACAAAGGTTTTTAAAAAATCACATCAAATAAAAAGTATCTGTGATCTCAAGCAAAATGACAGGGTCTGATGTTGGTTGGACATGGGAGTAATGTGAAATTGTATGCACTCTAAAAAAATCCAGGGTCAGATTGACCCTGAATCTGGGTCCCATTGGGGCTGACCCTTTTCCTGGTCAAATTATGACCCGTTTTGGGCCATCTTTGACCCAGAAAGGGTCAGATATGAAAGTGGGGCAATATCTTGACCCGGAAAAGGGTCAGGCCCAATGGGACCCCAGATTCAGGGTCTGTCTAACCCTGGAGTTATTAGAGTGTAGCAGAATTTAAAATGGAGGTAACAAGATGGCTACTAGTAGCGGTGATGATTATATACAAGCCACGGTACAAAATGATGATAGTGTTGGTGGTTTGACGACGAGACGTCCTGATCCTCTCCAATGAAAGACTAAAGTGTTCCTGCTGAGGGCATGCAACTGTCTGTATACTGCAGGTGACGGCCAGTTGTTTAATAGGTGTGGACATTCATACGGGCAAAGTCGTTGAGGGTGATGGTGACGTAGAGCCCAGTGCAGCCAACATCCACACTGCCATCTACAAGAGCAAAGGCGACACGGTCAACTGCATCATGCACACACATCAGTTTTACACAATGCTGCTCAGTACGTCAATTACATATCTTTTCTGATTCTGTAACATTGATGTCATTTTGGAAGAGGAGGTCCAACTTCTTTCCCAATTTTATAAAGAATACTACCCATCCTTACTACCTAGCATCGCTTGCCTTTCCTCGATTGTCCAGTCAAATTACACACTGATTTTTTTACGCTTTGGTCCTTCCTCGATGGTACAAGTATAAGGCACTAGACTCGAACATTAATTATGGTCTACTTTTTGCCGTCATATCAATGACCACCCTTTAGCAAAGCCTACATCGGAAAAAATGCGGTGCAAGGGGCGTGCCTTCCTTTTCTGTGGCATTATTTTTGAAAAAAAAAAGGGGGGGGGAGAAAGCTCCAGTACAATTTGTATGTGGTCAAAATTGCATTTTATCTTAAAAGGTCAATTTTTGTCCATAATTTATGCGCAGTAACTGCTGATTATTTCGCGGTACTGCTTCACTCTGATTGGCTTAAATTTTGCCGCTATACCGAGATATAAGAACTTTTAAGCTGCCATTGGAGTTTTTGATGTCACGCTTGCGTCAACCGATGCCCCTCCATTGTTGTACCTTCTCTGGTCAACATCTTCACTTCTGATCATCTAGGTTGTCTAGAGCAACCAGGGTTGCGCAACATCCATCAGCACGCCATGCGCTTCTACGGTAGAGTAGCCTACGACAGGTCGTACGGGGGTACGGCGCACGAGGGTGAGGCGGAGAGCACGCGGTTGGCCCGCAACCTTGGCGATAAAGACTTCCTGATCATGGGCAATCACGGCGTGCTGGGTGTCGGACACTCGCTGGCGTACGTCTTCGACAGTATGTACTACCTGGAGAGGGCTGCCAAGCTACAGGTATCTATAAACAAGTTTCAAATGAATCACGAAATGAAAACAAGATGGTGCCTCTTGTTACGAATTTTGAAAGATGGGTGCCTTTTAATGTCCAAGGTGTTTCAGAACTTTGTCCTGTCTTTTTTCCATTTGAAGAGATATCGGACGCCCGCCCTAGATTTTTTTTCTTATGTAAGCCTTATTTCTGCTTTCAAAGAGACTTCCTTCCCGTATCGATTGAGATCAAATGTAAACCAACACACTCGGCACATTTATTGTTCCTGTTCTCACCTATACATCGGAGTATACGGGCGATTCACAATAGTGCGCCACCAAGAGTTTGCAACGCGTTGGCCAATCATACCGAGCGAAATTTGTCGACCCTTTCCAAACGCGCATTGGGTCGGCAAATTTCGCGCATTGTGATTGGCCAACGCGTTGCAAACTCTTGGTGGCGCACTATTGTGAAACGACCGTATTGTGGGTGTCAACCGAGTGATTTTTCGGTTGTTATGGAGTTTAAGGGACTCTTCTATCGCTCATTCAAAGAATGCCCCTCCTTAAGGTTAGAGAAATGGATGTACATGCTTTGGAATTGATAGAGACTCTAAAATCATAACAGGTGTCAATGAATATTGATACATACCCATGTCTAGGCTTGCAACTCTCCCACAGGTGCTTGCGGCAGCCACAGGAATGAAACAATTTGAAGCCTCTGACGAAGTGGCTCTGAAAGTAGCCAATTACTTTGAGGCGCACGGAGACCAATTCTGGGATAAGCATTTTGCCGGCATCAAGAACCTGTTGCAACGGAGGCAGCCGGACTACAGGTCTTAGAGCCTAGAGATCCACGAAGAGATCAGTGTGCAAGATTTATTTCCCGATAGTTCTAAGACGCAGTGCGCGTTTTGCGTGTGTATCGGCAAGTCCGGTCCATAAAAACTGTTAATTAAATCGTTGGAAATGTATATTTTCGTATCTTTTTTGACTTTGAAACTCGAGGTATTTATGAATAAGAATGAGTTTTGCCGGTCTCAAACGTTCGTTTATTGGGAATATGGAAACTAGTAACATGACCAACCACATATTTAATCCCTTGTTAAAAACATGAAAATTTGAATATAATATATAGTTTAACATAAATACAATATTCTCTGTACATGTAACAGATTACAGTTTGACCCAGGCCACAGTGAGTGACCTCGCCGTGGTCTAGAATGATTAGTTACTGGCTGTGAGTTCGAGGTTTCTTGTAAGACTACGTCATTTCTAGTTGTCTAAGTGTACGTTCTGGAGGATTCTTGTAAGATTAAGCAACGCTAAAAGTCTATTTTAAGAAACATTCGTAATAAAAGAAATTTCTAGAAGACTTGTAGGCTATAAAAATACGGGCTCTGGCAGACGAGAGCAAGAGCGAGAGAGAGAGAGAGAGAGAGAGAGAGAGAGAGAGAGAGAGAGAGAGAGAGAGAGAGAGAGAGAGAGAGAGAGAGAGAGAGAGAGAGAGAGAGAGAGAGACAGAGACAGAGACAGAGACAGAGACAGAGAGAGAGACAGAGAGAGAGAGAGAGACAGAGACAGAGACAGAGACAGAGAGACAGACAGAGACAGACAGACACACACACACAGCTAGAAAGATTTTGGAAGGCAATTCCAACTGTACGCGGGCTGTGAGTGACTTCTGCACCATTTCAACGTGCGGTGGCGACACTAGCAAGAAAAGTTCGTCCAGACCAAGTGAAGTGCAGGGCTGAATTTTGTTCCGGAAGAGACAGTTTGTGAACTGATCCGGTTCCAGTTTGTGGGATCATCAAGTTCCCGTATTTGCGACAGTCATCACGCCCTCGCCGTTTCGTCTTTAGCCCGGTCATTCTTCTTGGACGTGGTCTTCATCCCCGTTGCAGCCCATTTTGCACTATCAAGGACTGAAGATTTTTTCGCCATCTGTGGAGTCCAGTGTTGTGCCTGCCAGGCTCTCGCCCATAAGCCTTACAACTTGTTTATACAAGATCTTTCTTGGTTCTTTACCCTTATCATTGTAAACTAGTTCCGATCTATATTTTCTTTGTCTTATTTTCGACAGGATAAGTGCATTATTCTGTTAGATTATAATTGTTTATTTGTCCCCTAAATCAGTGTCGTTTGACTTCTTTGTTGCATCGGAGAAAATTCAAGCTTGAAACTTATCAAATAGTTGGGAGTTTTTCGGATCGTAACAATATGTATCATGATGAAACTGCTGAGTTGCAGGCTTATGAATTGTGTCATAACAAAAATCCGATCAGAGTAGAGTATAGTTAAGGTTTGGAAGATCGATAAAATGAGGGATAAGGCTATACCGCCTTGAGCAGAAGACACCTCATCGGTTGGAAAGAGCCATGCTGGTCTGGAGGGATCGTTTTGTTGGTAGCGATGCATCGCAACGCATGCATTTCACAGTCATTCGTGAACCGAATGCAAAAGCGACAAGAAAGTTCCTGCCGAAGGAGCATCCGTTGGTAGGAAAATCACACCCTCCCCTGGTCCATCTCTGACCCTCTAGAAGATAGAAAAACTATTCCTTGGATGGCTATCAAATCTGGACGGCGAGAATAATGAGTCAATGATGCGACGGCTGCAGTGAATTTCTGCGGCAAAGTTTCGACACTAAATTATAGTTTCCACCCTGCTAATCAGTGTTCAAGAACGAGAGATCTGAAAACACCGTTTCAGTGATAATAGTTTTATCTCAACCGTTTGCAAAACCTCTTTGATGACTGCTCTGGTGGCAAATAAAAATTAGCGAATTCTCGCACTGGTCTGATGCAGCCGCTAAATATGACTTAAGTGATGTGAATGCCCGAAATGGGGGGGGAGGGGGCTGGTGGATGGGAAATAGTGGGGGTGACCTGCCTGGCCGTGAAGAATTGAAAAGCGGGATGGGGGGACACTATACAGAGTTCGATGTTCGTGATATTGATGTACATCTGTGAAAGGTATCACATTCATGCAGAATTTCACATCAGAATGGTATACATATACATAGTAATTTGTTTCCTTTCTAGAGTGATATTGATTGTATTTTAGTAGTGGGGAAGCCCGAAAAAATCTTGACAACCCTCTTTGTTTTTTGTTAACCACAAAAAGTGGGGGAGAGTTCAGTAGTCCGCCCCCCCCCAAAAGTGGGGTATGTATCCCCAATCCACCCGAATTTACGCCCATTTTAGTCAAATTGCGGAGCATCACATTCATGCTGAACAACACTTTGAGGTCGACTGTAAAAGTTTCCAGACAATTTGTGGCCACTTATCGTCATTTTTGTAGGAAAGTGCGTTTATTTTTTTGCACATGTAATAAATGTCGTTTGCATTGTCCGATCAATTTCAGGTCTTTGTATATAGGCCTTAAGTTTCATTGGTCACGCGCGTCTAAGAGCGGCTCAGGAGAGCGGGCGTGACATCAACGTATAAGACCGACCAAGCGCATATTTATTCCCATTAAAATACTTTTTTTTAATCAGAGAGTCAAAAGAAGTTAACATTTGATGGATTTCCAACGATTCTGTTCCAGAATTTTACTTCCATTTTTCCAAACACCCCCGTTAATTTTACGGTGTATGTTAGATCTGAAAACTCCAAACTATTTATTCTGAAGCTTGAATTGCACGTTATTGAATAGGGAGACAGTCTGAGGTATTTATGAATGTTGGTTCAAGGCGAAAACGGTCCGTGCACGTTTCGCCCATTCGTTTTTCGATCTAAAAAAGAAAATCAAAACACCCTCAAAACAAGTCGTTGTTGTGTCTTTGGCCGTTAAGAAGAGACGTAAAGCAAAGTCTTATTTGTTTAAAGTAGAATTTGTTTTCCTTAATCTTTCCCCAGTTTTAGCAGTGATTGAGAAGTTTCTACAGTCGAAATCAATACTCCAAACGTCAGTCGGGATCTTTGCGTCCGTTTCTTTGTCGACTACGCAACTCCCTTCGCGCGCTCCGTGCGCCTGACTACTGTTTGAATATCCTCGTCTTGCGAGACATATCGCAGTTATCTATGTTTATTCAAAGCACGCTCCCCAACTCAAAAATGAAGCAGTTGTAAAACTGCTTTATTGCTTTGCTGTAGGCATGCTATCAGACTTTACACTCCCTCGGACTGTCGCTCAACCTTCATATTGGTTTAAAAGTGTCGCCGACATCCTGTTACAGAAACGGCCAACTGCATTGTATTTGGCCAGTCTTGTCATAAAACAAGACTAACTATTCTGCTTGAGTTACTTCAGTCGTGTTATGACGGAGGTCACATTATGCAAGCAAGTCCTCGTCGTTAAGTTATATCTGAATTCATTCAAAGCAAAAACAGTAAAGCTGTAAATTTGCTTTATTGTTTACACTCCCTCTCAGTGTCTCTCAACATGGATATTGATTTAAAGTTTTGCCGACATTCCGTTGTTGTCGACAATGTGGACTGCATTTTATCCTGCATGTATTTTGCCAGTGAGTCTTGTCATAACATGTCAGTATGCGATATATCGGACTTCCATTGTTTGTGAAACATTCTGTTCACAATAAAAACGTCCAAAAGAAACGACTGAAATGGATTGCAAACAACTTTGCAAATTTTGTTGTCTAGTGACACCGTCACTAAACACGGCTCCTCGGGATCAGACAGCTGCTCGAAGAGAGATGATTCTCCTGTCATTTCGTTTAGCCCTGGATGTGTCTTTCACATTTCGGTGCGCACGTGCGTGTAGCCTGTGTTTTCCAAATAGAAGAGGGGATACCTTGCATAGATTGCTTTTGTTGATAAAAGGGGGCTATCACTGGCAGATGGGGGGTGGGTAGCCACACCTTGGATCTTAAAAAAAATTGTTTAAAAATAAGGAAGTGAGAAAGCCTTCTTTCGGTTCACTTCAATTCCGTTCCTTCCAAAAAAGCGTGTAAAAGTCCCATCTATCAGGAAGGCCATAAAAAGTTGATACATTTCTGCCTCTCTAAACAGTTCTGGTTCTTGTTTACAGCCTTGCTTATAGTTGTAAACATGATGTTATTGTTAATAAGTCTTTCTGGTACGAAATCAAGGATTTTTCAGAAGCGTTCCAGCTCAGGCACTGTTAGCTCGCAAGCCTGAAGAAACCAGTAGAGAGGAGACAATGAGAAGTTTCAGCCTTAGAGGTAGGAGGAAACCCAAGAGGGGTACTGTGGGTCACGGTTAAACCCTAACGGAAGCAGGTCGGAACTGAAAACCGAATCCACATGGGGACAGTGCCGGGAATCGAAGCCAGACCGTAGAAGTGGAAGGCGCGGAATGACCCGCAACGCGCCGCCAACCTGACCGTGGCCCATGGCCACGAGGTGTCATGTATGCCTAAAAGAGGTTATTGAAAACATTACTGACGACATTGATGGAAGAGGTCTGTCTGCGGGTGCATTACTCGCCAAGTGCACAGTTTTCCCTGCACTGGTAGCTCCATGTGCCGAAAGTTGGTAGAGGGAAAAGGAGGTTGAACGACGTGCGTCATCACACTACTTTTTAGTATTTAATTAAGCTGCAAGTGTACAGTACGTATTGGAGGAGCGGGTTCTTTCCTCGCTTTGCAACAATGAGGCCCCGGTTCGAGTCCCATCTTGGCCCATGCTTTAAGTGCATTTGTTTTCCAGTCCATGATACTCGCTCTTGCAAGTTTTCTCTGGGTACTCCGGTTTCTTCTCGCCTCTAAAACTGGACCTTCTTCCTAACTCCGTAATGTGCTGCTGATTATGAATAAATACAGTGAAGCAAATAGTCTGAGTAGCTGGAAGCGCCATCAAAAGTTTATTTTATGCATCCCGAGCATACAACAAAATGTGCGTCACAACCATAATATCACATGATTATGTGAAGCAGGTTATGTGAAGCCTGCACTGCAGTCTAAAGCAAACAAGAGGGCCCTTTAAAAGAGGGTCAAAGGGCCGGGTCCGTCGTGTTGCCAGAATAGAACAGACCCAGCTTCACGGCATGGACTGTGTCACGACAGTTGACGCACTGTCTTACTGAATGACCATGGCAGTCGTCTCAGCTGTTGCAAGCAGATTGTTGCAAGCAGCCGTCTCCGTCGTCCATGGACAAAGGACAGCTGCCATTGCCAGATGGTATGTGAAGTACGAGAAACAAACATTTTGCTTCATGAATGGTACTTAGATCAGACGGATCCGCTGCGAGTGCGACGGGGCTGGCTCATGCAAATAGTTGGCTTTGACCATGATGCGTTGACCATGCTTTGACAGAACTGTGGGGTCCGACGTCCTCCCTGCTCCCGATCCCACGGGGGCGGACGTCGGACCCCTCAGTTCTGGGAATATGTCGTAAACAGTGAACACGAGGTTCTCTCCTGTCTTTTCCAACAGGTCTCCATACATGTGCAGTACGTACGTGTAAAACTGGTGGATTATGCGTCAGTGTACATGTACATTAACATTGACAGTAACACAATCAACCTCATAGACAGGTACAGGTCAAAGTGTTACACTCTTCTGAAGGGATTTTCACCTTGTACCCAAGTAACCAGTCATTCCAGGGGTCGTTTTTTACAGTTCCGGGGTACTCTGCAGTTACACCATATGACGCTCATACCAGAGTTGGATATATCCAACCGACCATGATCCAACAACCATGGAGGAAGGCACTACTCATATCACTACTCCGTGTGACTTCAAGCCATTGGTGTCGTAACACTGGGTTTTTCAATCAAATTGGTTGGGTGAATGATCCACAGCTTCAAGTTGAACACTTTCTATTCAATCAAATTGTCCCATTCTTTAGGGTGTAATGTGGATTGAGACCGAGTATTTTAAAAAGTGGAGTTTTTAATCACCAATCTAATAATATAACAATAAGTCAAATTTTGCAGTTAAAATTTTGAAGCATTCACTTAAAAACACCAATAGTGTCATGCTTCATTTCTTTTTAATTTTCCAAGCCGGGCTCTCTGTACTGTCGGGAGTGATCACGTGGTTGCTAATCAGCGGGCCAGGGAAGATCTAGCGGCCAGCTATCGCGGCCTGGACTACTACAGGATGGGGGAGGGGATATGCAACCATCTGACACTGAGGGCACCAGCTCGCAATGGCAAGGGCGAAGTAATGCTGCTGATCCCCTACGGCAAGCACTGGAGTCAGGTAGGTAAAAAAAGGTTCAGACCTTAACCCCCCTCCCCAGGTCCTTAAAAATCCTCCAGGAGATTTGAGAGGGACTTCAGCAAGAATGAGCCGAGGAAAGTTAGTGCTCAACTGGTTTTAAGACATCTGCACTAGTAAATAAGCAGGAGGTTGTGGGTTCGAGTCATCCTTAGTAAGGTTATGAATTCTTTTCCCAAGCTCTTGGACAAACACTGAGCATTTGGTTGTATGAATATACATAAGTGGAAGGGCAGAACCTGTTACAAGAAAGTAGCATCTCCTCAGAGCTGAGGAAGGTGGCAGAGTAAAGGTACTGCTGCTTTCACAGAGCTCGATGCCCCATGTAGAGGGGGATCTAGAGGGGGGTTGCACAGAAAATGACAGAAAATAAGTAGCCTGGGCTTACCCCAAAAAAAAATCCGGGACGAGGATTGCGCCGTCCATCTGTCCATCTATAGTTAAACAATTCCATGGATTTCCGGTGGATCCCCTTAGCAGGGCATCCTTTCAATACGCCTATCAAGGATCAGCTTTCGCCATGGTGTTTGAGGTAACGGGGTGGAGATTTATGTTCACGTTTAGGAGGAAAAAAATATTCCTGCTATGCTTCTTTTTCCCCTTCTGTCAGAGACAATCCATTCTTGAGGTGGGGTAGCCATGGAAGAGTGCGTTGGTGGGGAGGGGGTACGTATATCAGGTGGTAACAACGTGAAAATGAAAGCATTCGTTTTCCTACAGGTGACAGCAAGTTGCCTGATTGGAGTGGACATACACACTAAGCAAGTGGTGGAAGGTGAAGGAGTCGCAGAGGACAGTGCGGTTGCTATACACACCGCCATCCACCGGGTCAATGAGAAGACCATCGATTGTGTCATGCATGCCCATCCACCCTACTCAACAGCACTCAGTGAGTACTGGACAAAGTGACATGATTGAAGCACTCCCGGGGGGGGGAGGGCCTTCAAATGATCCAACTACTTCATGAAAGTTTCCCCTAGCATTCTCAATTCTCTTCAGTAACGGTTTGAGTGAGCCCTCATTTTTTGCAGAATCTTTTTTAGGGGAGGGAGTGGGAGGGACAAGTCTTGTCTTTCTGTCTGTCTCTTCTGCTCTTAACTGGTTATTTACTTCAAAGGATTTTCACCTAAAAAATTCCATTGGCTGTAGTAAATGGTAATCTCCACAAAAACAGAGACAATAAAAACTAAAAAAGGAGAAACTTGAGGGAAAACAGATTTTGGCCTTATTGTTTAGCATGTGCATTTTCTGCTACCTTATTCTTCACAGATTTTTGCCTCTGGATATTTAATTTTGTAAACATATATTCAAATTTTCAATAATCAATTGAATATCTGAATATCCAAGTAATCGCAACAGGCCCAAAGCTTCTTACTCATTCCTTCCTGTTTTATGTTTGTTCTTCAAGGCTGTCTGAAAGACCCTCGACTCAAAATGGTTCACCAAGGTAGCATGAGGTTTTATGGCAAAATTGCCTATGACATGGAGTTCGGTGGCACCGGCGACACAGGCAACGAGTGTGAGAGGCTGGCCCAGAACATGGCTGACAAAGAAGTCATGGTCATGGGTAACCACGGGATTGTTGCGGCCGGCAAGTCGGCTGCTGTTGTCTTTGATAACCTTTACTACTTTGAGAGGGCTGCCATGTTTCAGGTGAGATGTTAAACTGCCACGAGTGTGTTCTGGCTTTCAGTTTCATCTCCGGCAACATGCAGGGACAGCTGTTAGATCCTGTAATGCAAGAAGCCGGTAGATCTGTAAAAAGCCATCTATACTGAAAAGAGTTGTTTACAAGTGTTTCCCCTCAACTATTGCAAAGATGGATTTGCGCCGGGGAGATGGAATTAATTTTGGACTTTTGCTTCACCCGACGTGTAAATCTATCTTTAAAATAGTTGTTTGCGGTATCCGCTGCTACATCTCATTTGACCCAGCCAGCTGACACCGGCAAGCTCGGTGGTCTAGTGGTTAAGACATCTGCACTAGTAAGCAGGAGGTCGTGGGTTCGAGTCCCACCCGAGTACGTTGTGTTTTTTTTTCACAAGCCTTCGGGGGCATACACTGAGCATACAGTGTTAAATACCCGTCAGGCAGGGCAAAAAGTCCAAAATGACTTCCCTCAAGTAAACAAGGAACGATGTTTGCTAAGTTGCATTACTAAGCAGGGCATAAGCAATCACAGCCCCCCCCATTAGCACCCATATAGTCTGGTTCTCCCTCAGAAAAAATTCTGACTATTTGAGAAAATCCTAAGATCTGGTGATTAAATCAGGGGCAATTCCTCCCATTTGTAAAGATTTCAAAAATGATTGTCGAGCATATTTCATGGATTTTTGGTCATTGTTGTTCATGTTTGCAAAACGTTTGTTGTGGATATAAAATTGCATTATGGTATTTGACTTGCCTTCATGCAGTGTTTCTGACCGTGTTTGAGAATAACTTTTGCTGCTTTTTCACATTTCATGCTGCTACCATCGCCATTTAATCAGAACTGGCCCAGTTTTACAGTTTTCAGACTGAAAAAAATCGGCAAAAGTGGACATTATTTGCAGAAAAAAGAGGGAGCTATTTAAATATTAAAATGTTTAAAATGTACGGACATGGAAATAACTGTTTCTTGGTGCCAGCTTGTTTTGTAATAGGGTAACATGGATGTTTCAGCTTCTGACATCTCAATGTTGACGGGTGTGAAGGTTGATGATATCAACTTTTTGAAGAATATCAGCATGCATGCACTTAACCTTAAAATAGACGTCTGCGCATCCCAACATTGTGTTGTGTTTTATTTTTAGACTGTGATATGGTTACCTGACCTTACTGAGGAGACTCTAGGGATTGTAAGAGCAGAGAACCAGACTAACATCTACTTACTCCTCATGCTTCCCCTCAGAATTTGGTGAAGAAAAAAGAGCTTTGCATTGTTTAATTCTATGACAAAACCCACTATGCACCCCCCCGATGATGACCCTGCCCCCTTCTAGTGCTGGCATTCCATGAGCAAAATAGGTGTGTTTTAGATGAAAACGCTGTGCATTCACAACAGTTGGATGAATTTGGCATGGGACAGAGAGTTCTATCTTGTCAACAACTTTTCTCTTTTGTCAGGTGTTAGCTGAACAAACAGGCAGGGAGCTGGCCGAAGCCAGTGACAAGGTTGCCCAAGGTGTCACCGATTACTACACCAAGATCGGGGACTTCTTCAGAATTTGCCACTTTCAGGGGCTGAAAGAAGTGCTGCAAGGCAAAGAGCCCGATTATCGCTCCTAGGCTCGCCTGAGAGGCATTACGCAAACAGAAATTCAGCTCAGTTCTCCTAAGGGCTAGGATTCTATGTTTGCCTGAGGTAGTGTGGTGGGCTAATATAGTTTGGGCATAGTTGGACATTAAAAAAGATGTAAGACTAATCATGTATTCTCCTATCAGCTCTGTATCAGGTAATCTTTCTTTTGTCTGAAAGATCGAAGTATTTAAAAGAAAATTCCAATGATGGTATTGATGGTATGAAAGTTTCTTAATGACAATTAAATACCGAGCCTGTTTCATGTAAATTTTTGATGTGTTATGTTAACCACAAAGATATATTATTAATGTAAGATACATTGGTAATGATCAAACCCATATAAATAATCTGCTGAAAGAACTGGTGTAAATCCTGGAAAAAAATCAGCACAGTGAAGGAGATGCAATTGGATATTCATTATTCAATGTGCAGGGAAAGTAAGACGTAAGGTAAGTAAGACGCAAATCATTTTGCTGAACTTCTTAGCATTATGTCTGACATTATAATTATGTACGTGGTTGCAAAAAATATTGACATTCGTACTATTGGGACTTCTTTTTTTTGTGAATCCCCCTTTTTCGGGAGTGGTGTGGGGTCGTTTCTCGAATACTATTAATTCAGCAATAACTGTGTAACTTGTGTTAGTAATGTTGATCATTCGTCAATTTTAGATTAAATATACAGGAATCAAGGATTGCTCTAGGCCTATACCTTTTTATCGCGTTCTGTTTTTCCTTTTGTAACAGAGAAAGTTGTCTAAAGGTTGAAAGTGGGATTTTGTTTTAAGTTGAGTTGCCCCAACGGTTCAGTTGGTAAACGGTCGAGCTGTGCGACATACCGGTCGGCACACGTGTTGACGAATTCAAATGTACATGTGCACGCGCATCCCTGCCACCGAGGACACAGATTGAAGCTTGCAGTTGCTCAGGTTTAATGACGGTTATATCCACTGTCTCAATTGAATAGGATTCCACTGACAACTGTATCTTCTATGACTTCATTTCGAATCGTTAGGCCTACAAAGATCCATTCAAAGACACACAATATGCATGCCCCTCGAGAAACGGCTAGGAGCGCGTGCTGCATAATGAATTGCTCGTAAATAATGTATCCTCTCTGGAATCTAGACCAATCAGAGTGCTCCTCTTGAAATTTGGAGGCAATCCGGTTCGTAAGCTTAAAGTGTGACACTCACTTCAGTTTAAAACCACGCCCACTGCACATGCATTGATCGCCGTTACATGGAACCGTGCAACCGGAAGTTAACGCGCAACTTTAACGATCACCCAATGGGAGCCTGCAAATCGTGGCGCTTCAGCCTTTATGGCGCGCTTCGGGAACCCTTTGATAGGAACCATAACGTGCAAAGATTTTAGAATTTGTAATTTTTTTTGCAGTTTCTTCTTTATATCCAACTTGGAAAAAGGGCTTTGAACAATATTTGCTAGTATATCAATTTATAGAAACTGAAAAATGACCTTATCTAAAAGAGAAATATCCTGCCAAAAATTGACCCATCACTTCTGAAAATCTAAATTACATGAAGAACAGTGCAATGTGGCAGTCTCGTACACAGATGAACATTTACGGTTTGAAATGTTACGGTAGTCTGTTGGTAAACGCCAAACTAAAAACAAATCAAAATATTTTAAACACTTTTATAATTTATAAGTTAATTAACATAAAGTAATATTCTACTTTTACGAAAGATTCTAATAGTTTGTCTAACCTTTGCTGACAACAACTGGGTGATGTCAACTCAACGGAATCTGGAACCCATCGACTACAGGTAGGTAAATATTTGCAACGTTGTACAATCTCGTTTTCACGTGAGCAAGGGCAGTGAAAACAAACGTGCTTGAACATGGAGACTTATGTACGATATCGCCAGACGTGAAAGGTGATTAAGAAAATTCCTTTTTTACCTATCTCCAGGTGACTTTTCCTTAATATTACTTGAGGAAGACAAAGGTAAAATTCCAACATGAGTGTTTCATGGGGTGGTTTCAGTTTGGAATTATTCTTCCAAAAATTATTGAACGTGATAGGACGGCCCAATGTAAAATCCCCATGGGCAAACCGCGCAAGGGTTCTGGAAGCTCGCTACGTGGCCTTTTACTTTCAGACTCTATACAAAACGCATCTGAATCGAGAGGTAGGCTACGTTTGAAAGTAACTGCTATGGCTAGAAATGACACGTGCGCCCAGTGGCTGTAAGCTGCAGCCACTTTCCATACTGATGTGTGTACCTCTAGTTGCGTCTAGACCACAGAAGGCATTAGGCAGTAAGTCCACACAGTTAGCTTCATCCACACACGTGTTAAAGCTGTCTGATATTTTTCTGTATTTAATATAATCCAGCAATTAGGCCTGCATCCAATTAATATCCTACATGCATTGGGCAATTCTGTGGTAGCTCGCGTTACACCTAATTTGTAACTAAGTGGTCCATGTGCTCGAACCATGTGCTGTTATCGGCATTGACTCAATGGTATATTTGTTCAGAGATTCTTCAGAAAAGATAGTCACTTATACTATGAAAACCAAAAGTCAGTAAATTAAGTCTGTGCATGATTGATAATAAAGCTCAATTTAAGGGCCTTCAAGGTTCATTGAGTTCTGAACATTACAGTTAAATTTTCTTTTGAATTCTACAGCCCTGCAAACAGACATCTCAAGGGCAACTGGGATCTGAAAACAATTTTTTTTCACCATAACCTTGCTAGAATTGTATATTTTCGATGGTACAGCGTCACATTTTGTTACCACGATAGGCCTAGTTTATGCTGCCCCCCCCCCCAAAAAAAACAGCTGTAGTTACATGCACTTGTTGGGCGAGGGAGATGCAGTTGGGAGCATACACTTTTCTTGCAGATCAAATGTGAGTGGAGCCACACGAACTTATTACAGCGTTGAAAGAATATAATGTCTCACAATAGCCAACGTGTCTTATACCATAGAGTTTCAAGAGACTGCCTGAATGTAAACACATAATCTATACATGATTTTACTAAAATTAATTTTGTTTTACCGAATTTTACAAGAAGCTTTAGAAAGAAAGAAGAGTCTGGCTTTTGCTGAGGAAACGGTGTGTTTTGTCTACATTTAAAGATGCCACGAACACTGTTTATACAGAGACAACTGATCATGATTGGTCTACTCGTTTTTTTCTTTTTTTCTTCCGGCTTTGCTGCGACAACAAATCAAACGACATATCATCCTCGTGAAGTAAAATGCTATATATGCAGCCAGAACTGCGACCACCCCAAGAAACACCAGGACATCGATGGAGTGCAGTTGGAAAAAATTCAGATCCAGGGACTTGGGCCGGAGATAGCTGCCGCCATACTTAGTGACGAGTTCCACCCAGTTGGCTGCTCGTTCTCTGGGAGTGTTGGGCTGGTCATGGAAGATTCGGGACCACTTTAGTGCGCTCTCCTTGTATCTGTTACAAAAAATGAAAACGACAGTTTACTCATTTACAAATCACGAAACTTATCGAGGGCGATAAAGTGGCTCGTCCACTCTTACACGAGTAGTTAACCTCTGTGAGATCGGCACGTATACGTGCGGAAGAAGCGGCACACGCCCATTGTTTATCAAGCAGGGCACGTTTTCATGGCACAGGTGAATTTAACAGCATTTAAAGGTTAATAGAAATTAACTATCTCAGTTCAAGGTAGAAATTAAAAGACTTTCTACCGTGTGTTTCTTGAATTGAGGCTGTGTTTGCCTCATTGGGCCAAGCTACAACAAACACAACGTGGCCTTTTGCAAGCGTGCGATACTGCATGTACTGTTTGTAATCATGCGATGTACATGTACACTTTACGTGTAGGCGTTCTGCCGATGACGTCATCAAATCAGCCTGGGAGCGCGAACGGCCAAAAGGGGATTGTTTGTGGGCGGGGAAACGCAGGATCTTTTGGTTCATTTTGGGGTCACGATTAACGTGTTAAACACTGAATTTATGATGTTGTTGAATTGGTCAGGTATTTATTGTTATTTTGAAATATTTCACGTGAACTAAAATGTTTTCAATTTCTGCTAACCTTTAAATTAATCAATTGATGCAGTGCTTATGACGTGTGGGTCTACATTGACTTTATCGTTGGGCGAATCCGCTCTCTTGTTTGCGCTCGCGCACAAGCAACAGGTGTATTTTACGATCACCCAGTGTACATCAGTGCTACCGTCATTTGTATGAGCCTGTTTCCTACGTTTATAGCTTGAAATCACACCTGTTTCCTACGTTTATAGCTTGAAATCACACCTCACTTAGCAAGTTAATTATATGCAAAATAATCTGTTGCTGGTAGATATATCCGTCACCAGGAGTTATATGAAATTCACTGTTGGTCGTACACAAAGCCCGGCCGTGTTGTGTTACTTTAAAAAGTACCCGGTTCGAATACTCCCTAGTCTAAGATCCCTCCCCCCCCGCCAAAAAGGGCTTGGGTAGAGTTGCAGATGGTAGGATCACCGTTCCCCACCGTTTGTCCTGCAAAACTTCAACGATGGCCTCATAGAATATGTCTCCCGTCAATGTGTTGATGTCGACTTGTTTGGCGAAGCCCCGAGGCTGAATCCTAGCGATAATGTCGAACTGGTCGCCCAGGAGCGGTATCCCAATAACAGGCACTCCGTGATAGATGGCCTCGTAGACCCCATTCAGGCCGCAGTGACTGATCAGAGCTCTCGTCTTGGGATGTCCTGTAAAACGGTACACCAAAACTTAACAGGATGACAAACAAAATGGAGATAGTTTGAGCAGTTTGACTCGCACATCAAACAGCTCTATTTTGATCCAGGTTCCGGTCTGAAAGAATAATTTGGGCCAAACCAAACCATTTTCATATGAAATCTGAACTTCCGTCATATATACTCCTATCCTTGCGTGGATTTCCAGCCTCTTGAGTATTTAGGCTTATTGCTTCGCATTTCACTGACTGGTTGTAATTAATCATTGAAGAAGAAAAAAGTTGCTCAACAGTTAAAATCTGAAGAGTTTCCACATTTAAAATAAAAGCTGCAACTTATACCCCCTGAATGCACACTTCAGAAATGAAAGTTTCCATATACTTCAGTCTTGTATCCAGACTTGGGTAGGCTCCATAATTTATGTACTCTTGAAATTCGGAGGCAGGAGTGCGCAAGGGATGGGAGGTTAGACGGTAACTTGTCTGGGCTCTGGTAACACGCGATAGCTCTTACCGAGTAAATCATTGAGTGGCAGCCAGTTGACCAATTTGGAGTTGTTGCCTAAGGAGGCAGGAGGTTCCCCCTCGTACTTCCACACCACCCTCTGGGGAAGCCGAGCAAAAACTGCAGCCAGCTCATTGGATCGGTTGGCATCCAGGGAGCTGAAGTGGGAACTCAGGGTGAACAGAATAACACCGTGCTCGCCAGATCCGTCCATGAAACTCTCCAGATCCTAGAGGAGGTAGTTGACAACTGAAATTCAAAATCTTTTTTAACTACCGAATCTGGTGGATCGAGATCCCGGGATATAGTCAATACGAAATTGTATACCAATTGGTCATGTGCCGTCAATTCCATTCGCTGTCTCCCTACTCACCTCTTATCATCTTTTCTCCACCCTCAAGAAGTTTCATGGCTACTAGGTTTTGTTTTTACGTATCCTTCTGATTTATTAATTCCAAGCCTCCTTCATTATGAATGCAGGGTTTACACCAAAGCCACAGTATCCATTCACAGTAGCCCCTGAAATGGAGACTTTGCGTGGTAGTCATCTTGCAAGGCAGTTGTTATGTTTCACAAGGAAACGTCCTTAGTGCATACTCTCTGGAAAAAAAGCACTTGCTTAAGAGGTGGCAGCCATCCAAACCCCTTTATCGCCGAAAGTGTTTTCGTTCTCAAAGTTCGAATTGGTCATATTTTACGCAGATATAAGCTGGAATCTCTCGTTAAAACATAAGTTGAAAACAGTTGTACACAAATGTACTTGAGCTGCATTCACCCATTTTAAACATTTCGGTGTTGTTGAAAAATGCAACCATGAAAACGCAGGTCTTACCTTATCCAGTGGCTTAGCTGGTGTTGTTGTGAGGCCGCCAACAAGTACGACGTTAGGTGTCAGCGAGCGAGGGTAATCAGTGGTGAAGTCAGTGTTCATCAGCCAGACCTCGGCCCGGCCCAACGACTCGTACATGCTCATCTCCGATTGAATCCCGTGCTTCGTCTTGAGACGATCGAAGGGTCCCAGATAAAAGGTGTCGTAAAGGAAGGCGTTCACAGCATACGCAAAGACATTGAGGCAGCGCTGTAGGACGTTCATATTGTCCGTTAACGTCGTCATAGCCCCCGGTAAGAAGGCTGGGTTGTTCGGCATGCCCGCCAGCCGGCTATGCGCCATCGGCATGATGACTCCGTTCATTACATTTACGTACCGTAGGTTAAGCTTCTGCGCGATTAGGATGAAACAAGGGTAAAGGACGTCCCCGACGACGATGTCGAACTGGGCGGCTCGAAGACGATCCATCATGGCCGAATCGGAGAGAGCAGAGTCGCACTCACCGGCAAAGAAGGTGTTAACACCGATGGCAGGGCCCGTGCTGGCACCTTTGGTCCCGCCGTATACCCACATTTTCAGCCAGTCCCAAGAGGAACTCCTCTCGCCCCTCAGACTCGAGGAGCCGAGGGCGGCTAGGTTTTCCCGCATTTGGCTCCGGGGGATCGTTGAAGGGTACACCTCGAAATCGAAGAGTTTAGCCAGGCTGCTGTTTGCTTGATAGCCAAACACATCACTGATGACAAAGGTAACCCTGTGTCCCCGCTGCACCAGGGTCTCGGCAATGATGGTGCCGGTGTAAAAATGACTTCCTGGCCCACCCAACAATGACATAAATAACATGTTGTAGGCTTGTGAGGAACCCGGCAAGCAGATGACTGCCAAGAAGAAGCCAACTGCACGAAAATTACACACAGCACTGCCCATGATCATTTAAAATTCCCCCGTTAGAGAATCGGCCAAGTTCAAGTCAAGGTGTGTCTCCTGTTTCAACCGTGGGAGAAGTCCTCTCGCGAGATCACCTCCAACCACTGCAATTCCTCAGTGATTCTATTTCCTGGTTTGCTCGATTTTGGGTGTTTTTTTTTTTCGTTTCGTATGCCCGGCAGCATCTACTTCCCAGCTTAATCAATGTATACCGACGACACTGCGAATGCGCGAAGAATTTAATGCGGGTAGGCCTGCACGCAGCTATGCACATTTTTTTTTTACATTTTTTTTGGCATTACAGACGTGAAAGGAGGACCAGCACATTAACCCTATCCAGGCCGAGATTTGCCACCGACCATGAGCTACAACGGTTTGCTTTCGCGTACAACCCGTATGTCCATGTACCAGCACATAAAAACATCGTAAACAGCCAAGCACAAATCAAGCGTGTAAACCGAGCTGCACTCGAATTTTCAAGAAAACCCGTTAAAATATACAGGATGTCCACATAAAAAGTATACCGAGATACAAATTACTGTAATAGCAAAACTACTTTATATATGGAAAAGAGAAATATATCTCTAGAAAGGGCAGAATGTCCTCTTTGCAATGGTATACAGCTTGTGATGTTATTGACACGGATGAGTGATCAAACCAGACCAGTGTTTAGGGTACTGAAATCGGCACTGTGACAAGTTTGCACGTATGATTAACGAGGCTAGACCATGCAAGTGGGCAGAATACCAAATGCCTTTGCTTTAAGAACCCATCCTTGAAAACAAAGAATTTACCTAAATCAATCTTATCTTCTTTGTTTTCGCTACTTACTTCATCAGTTTAATGTGCTAAGTCCTCCACATGGCCACCATTCCTGTCAATGCACATCTGACATCTTCGTAACAAGTCTGATCATTTCAAGGTCTTGACAGAGGTTATTGACTTCTTCCACTGTTCTTGCACGTTAACTCCAGCCCTGAACATTAGCTGAGGGTGTAGTGAAAATTTGGTTCTGAAGGTAATGCCGTAAAAAGAAATCGCTTTCACCCCACATGCTGACTTTTGTTATCAATATGGAACTGCTCACAGTTCCTCCTTAAAGGAAAGGCATTTGGTATTCTGCACACGTGCATGGTCTAGCCCTGTTCATCACATATGCAAACTTGTCACAGTGCCGATCTCAGTACCCGTAACACCGGTCTAGTTTGATCACTCATCTGTGTCAATAACATCACAAGCTGTATACCATTGCAAAGAAGGCATTCGGCCCTTTCTAGAGATATATTTCTCTTTCCCATATATAAAATAGTTTTGTTATAGCAGTAATTTTTATCTCAGTATACTTTTTATGTGGACACCGTATATTAGTTCAACACACATTAGTGTTTCGTCACCCAGTTTACATGGAAGAAATCATATACATGTAGTTTCATTTATTTGGTAACGTACATCCTTAAATTAAACAAAAGGGCACAGATATACATTTAATTTGCGCTGTTGGTTTGATTCACAGGTATATTTTGATTTGGGTGACGTCGTATCTCATGTTATTTACATTTCCCCCTTCCATTTCTCTCCCACCGCACCTTCTTCTTGTTTGTTTAGTTCGGTTGGATTTTCATTCATAAGATTTTTCTTCCAGAACTCATCCGTTGTGGCGATGGAACTGGCTGCTAATGAACCATTAATTCGTTTATTTCAAGTGACAATTTTTTGTCTAGCGAGTGATCTTTAGAAATAAGGGATCATACTTCAATACATGTATATTAAGCGTTGATTCTCCATATACCCTTTCTCTTGAAACGTCTGCTCTGGAACTCAAGATTCAGCCCAATTAATATTATTATTTTCCTACTTGAAGGCTTATTCGTCCTCAAAGAAAGGACATTCAGACATAAGCCCTATTACAAGATACAAAATAAAAAGTTCTTGAAGTTCAGAAGGCTTGCCGGATTATTTAGGCCCATTAGTATCGAGAGCCAACAAATTCTAATATCTGTATATAAAATATGTGCCCTTGATTGAAAGTAATGATGTAATATCCTTGAAGTACTGCTTATGATACCGATGGAAATACTGCATAGCGTATCATCAATAGTTATACAACAATGTAATTTAAGATTGGATTACTTTTTTGAAATATCAGAAATGGTTTTTGTATTCCAAGTTATCTTTTAGCAATCTATTTTACCTCTCTACATCCAAGAAATGGTGGAATGGGCAGAATAAAAGCTGGCATTTGTGACTTGAACCAAACGGTCAAGAGTTTTAATTTTCAGAAAGCTCTGAGATTGTTTGGTTGTGTTGTTTGCTTTTCATTCTCTCAGTGTGTTCAAATTTCTTGCCAAGTTTATGTCTTTCCTACGCCTGAACGCAATTCATGATATGGACAAACACAAGCTAAGCCCCTTTGTGGTTACACTCCAGGCTTGCCTCAGGTTGCATATTTTCAATGCCTTACAAATTAAGCCCTCCAAAGACTAAAATCGCTAATGATTCATCGGTCTGAAGATGTCAAAGACTACAGCTACGATTTAATGTCTCTTTGTTCATTGTAAGTTGTAAGCAATTAATTTTTTTAAATTGTGCTCCCTCTTCTTTAAAAAACACTGTTGTTGCTGCTTCATTTTGTTTTTTTTCGATTGTGACACGAATACAATTTATCTCCAGGGCCAAGATAGTGAGACTAATAAAATACCTAAAAATGTGTAAATCCTTTCTTAAAATCCTCTCTGAATTACATGCGGGTATGCAATTTTAGTTTAAGATATACACATAGTCCAAATTAGGTTTTACATTCTATTGACGTATGAAAGCTACAAAAAATGTTTAACATCAATTCTTCGAAACTCAACAGGGTGTTCTCAAGATCTCACAAGTATGGATGTATGGGTTCCATCCTTGTGTCTCCAAGCTAAGGGAAGAGAATGAAAACAGTTTGGGTTTACAAGTTGGATTGTGAGAGTTTGGTGATTCCTAGCTGGAAAATCGGCTTGAAGCTGGGGTCGGTCAGAGCCGCCCGGCCAAGATTGAAGGCTGCGATATCGTACTTGGTGCGCCCGTCTATGGCCAGCTCGCTCAGAACCCGACCAAGCACGCTGGCAAATCTGCAAGACGAAGAATACAAGGCAGGTTGTTTGGGGCAACAAAGACCAGTCAGAGCAGCTTCGCTGGTCTTATTCTTTAGTGTGCGGTACGCTCTACTGTTGAAAATCAGCGCCACTTCGCAAACTAACTTGAAATGGTCTGGACTGTGCTAATAACTATGATAATGATATCGTCGCGATCGATCTTCCTCTGTCGTGTGACTGAAAATGCGGGCATATGATGCACTGAAGACAGTGCCATTCGCTGAGGTTGATGTGAAAAAAAACTGAAAGTGTGATGTATTTAAAACACACACATAAGGTACGGGTACCTGCAATTTTCATTGCATTAGCTATTCAATCCGGTCATTCATCGAGCTGCGTGTGCCAGCCTAATCGTGAGATGCAAGTTCACTCCAAGCAAGGACATCAAAGTTCATCATTATTTTTACTGATGCTTTTCGTCTGAATCCTCCTTCAGACAGACCATTACATGAACTACACGGCTACATGTGATAGGTCCTGTCGACAAGTAGTGCTTACTTGCAGATCACTCCTCATTTTCTCAATACGTTATGCCTTACATTTGTTTGTAAACATGCTTCACTTGCACTATACTAGAATTGTATCTTATATTAGAAGAAACGTAAACACTACTCTAGGAGTAGTGCAATGTCTGCTGCAGTGTTTCGCTTTAAACCGCGTTACCTGCAGTGTTAGAAAAGTGTGACGCGGACCAGAACCTATACACACTGCACACGAGCAAGATCACACAATCACCAACACAGTCGTTTATGAACGAGCATCATCCGCTCCGAGCGGAACAAAAGAGGGCGTTTTTTTTTTTTGGTACGCCTTGGCTGAGTTCGGGCGGTTTATTCTGTTCACGAACAGCTCGATTTGTTGTTCGTGGGTCGGCCGCTGGAACGCCGGGAAGGTACAACCGCTTATTGCTGGTATAGTTATTTTGTGGCAAAAGTAACATGCAACACGGCGGCATCCTTATGCATTCTTCGAGAGTTAATGTTGGATAACTGGGCTAACTTCTTTTCCTTGAAAAATTCATTTCTGTCAGGGGAAATTATTAATGTTAATTTGTCAAAACTTTCCATTGTCTTTGACTCTGTAAGCCCTCTCGATAGTTTTTGAGGCTGCTCAAAAATCAAATCCCACGAGCGTTTCTGTGTGTTCGTGTAAACCCTGAGGAGATGGTGTGTGATCCTGTTCCGAGAACAGGGTTCTTGAGTCGTGTTCCCGCCGTTCGAGAGCGAGAACCAAGAAACCCGTGTCAAGAACAGGCCGCCCGAACTCGACCCTTCAGGCGCCTAATTAAGTATATATGCGCATTTGACGTGGAGCACGTTGAGTACGCGTAACTAATTTATTCCGGGCTTGTATGGTCTTTGCGTACACGCATAAAACGTGCAAGAACCCACTTGCGACCACCTGTCTTTCTTTCGCCGATTGGGGGTGCACTTCAGCTCGGGCGGATAGTTCAGTAAGACTTTCATTATTTTGATTAATTCAAAGATGTGAATTATGGTGATAAGTATTCATGAACCCCAGTCCAGTAAGCGTTCATCTGTACTTACTTGTAGGCGTGTCCAGCTCCACAGCATAACACGACGTCCGCGTGATCGGTTCGGTGGCAGGTGTCGATTACAAAGTGGCGATCCGGTGTCATAGTGTAAAGACAGGTTTTCACGTGGAGAATAGGACCCACCGACTGGCACAAAGAAAGAAAAAAAAGTAACTTCATACCGATACCTTGTTAATAAATCAAAACAGTGACAACGAACAAGTGAAAACCTTTTCATTAGCATTCGTAATGCAAGGCCGGTAAATGTGTAGTTACATGCAAAACTTTAGGAACTTCATTAACGTGAGTTTTGTTTGCAAGCTTGAAAGGGGAATGCTCTTGCCGTTTAGTATGTAATTACAAAATTAGGCTAAGTACTACATGTACTCGGATAACAGTCGACATGGAAAGAGTCTTCTTTACCCCATTTTTCAATGGTTGTCTTATATTGTTTCTATGTTTACAATTTTGCATTTATGGGATATTTTCCATTTCTGATTTCCAGTTTCACTGTTCAGGCCTTCCTTGTTAGTCATCCTGTATATGCTTCGAAAAACTCTATACCGTAACAATCTGCCACTTTTCATCTACTCCCCCAAAGTCACATTGCAATTACACCGACTTTACCCTTGGTATGTGCTCCCGGGAGAAGTCGATGCAATCCTTGACACTCGTCTGGTTCGGGATGAAGGTCCGGGTCGTTGGCGTCACTGTTTTACCACCGGCGTCCAGGCCAATCTTCACGCCGGAGTTGCCATGGATTGGCATGCCGTAGAGGTCAGAACCTGTGCCGTGATAGATCCAGATGGGGAACCTTCAACAGGTTGAAAAAAAAGAACAGATTAGGTTCAGATTGGATTATACTATAGAGGAGTCACCGATGTGGAAGCCAGTCCAGAAACGAGGCCGTAATGTCTTGCAGTGACTTTTTAAAATTTGGGAGTGCGGTTGACTGTATCTCTACCTCTGTCACTTCACATGGCTAAGCACTTCTCGACGTATGACATACACTGTGTTATGGTCTGGCCTCTTTTGATGGAGCAGTATAGTTTGTTGGTAAAATATAATTTGTATGGTGCATGTATTACACTGACAAAAGAAAATCATATTGGTGCATGTGCTACAATGCACATCATGATTCAGCATTCACGGAGAGACCTACTTGCTCTTAGTAAACTCGCTAAGGTTTGATGTAGCGAAGTAGACGACTTGCTCTTGGGTCACCGTGAGCGGCAGCTGTACCCCCACCGATGAAAGCACGTCGTTAACCCAAGCACCGGCCGCGATGACCACACGCCTGCACTGGAACGTGCCTCGGTTAGTGAACACCTTTAAAAATGGATAATTGTTGTACCGTCAGGTTTTGCCGTAAAGGGAGCAATACTCTCAACACGAAGGCTCATGAATTTAGAACAAATATCTCTCCCGGTTTCTATATGGATACACACCTTGTATGAGCCCTCTTTCGTTTTTTCAACCCGTTCCACTTTCGTCTCATCAAGGATCGTAGCTCCGTGTTTCCTGGCCAGCTGTATGTGAACGGCATTGGCGACCGCCGCGGCCACAAGGCCGGCGTCCTTCTGATACACCGCTCGGTAGTTGTCGCTGGCGCTGAACTGCGGGAATCGCTCGTGGAGCTGTAAACCATTCAGCTCCTCGAACCTTCAGAGACGGAATATGAAGGAAAGCCATATATAGCAAGTTTTGTTATAATGAGTCAAGGCAAAGGTTAGGGCTTATACCACTTTTTCTGTGTTGGTTTTACACGCAGCGCACCTCAGTGGTACTTAAGTAAGTGAAAAAGAAAAGGCAGAAGGAGCAGAAGACATATTGGAGGAAAGTCTAAGTTTCAACTATTGGTCCATTTTGTAGGTTGTCAGGGAAATTCAAACTGGGTAGACAAAAGGCAGTCGCTCAAACTTGCTCACAGCAGTAGCACTTATCAGTGGCGGCAGAACCGACACGTGCACTACTTGCACTCCGCCCTCCAGCTATTCTCGTAACAGCAATTGCATGCATTCCTAGCACCAGTTGTCCATGTGGCAGGTAAAGGAGTGGTTACATCAAAGGCTGGTTTGAAATCGTCGCAAACACTGCAGCGTCTTATTATGAGCATAGCCAATGAAGGTGCCTGACCAAAAATCGTTCAATATTTTGTGCATTGTACCTTTGTAAACTTTGGTCTGTTTAGTCGAGCAGCTGCATCTTTGATACATACTCAATCCCATTTTCTTGCATGGACTCCGCATAACGCTCGACTATCTTCTCCCCAAGGCCTCCTCGTCGGCTGAAGTTGACTCCTCCGGTCTTGTAAACCAACTGCAGACCCGAGTCCTTCTCAACCTCCTCCCAGCACTCATATGCCCCTTTGGCAAGCTTGGTGTACAAGGGATCGCTATACGACAGTCGGCTGCACGAATAATAGCGGGGGAGAACATTTAAAAAATGGACCAACAACTGTTCGCTGGTCATAAAGACGTCGTAACTGACTGAAATTGTGACTAATTTGCCAACATCGATCTCACACAGGTTCGTGATTAACCGGGGTGCTTTAACTTGTTGGATCGTTCTGTTTTGTTTTGTCCACCCAGGCCGACAACCGACTTCATTTTTTACGGCAAAATGTCACCAAACTAAGAAGCTGGTGATACTTTATAATAGACTCTTGAATTATGTAACAGCTTCAACAGCCTTACGAACCCCGAGCTAGACCAAGAGAGGGCGCAACGCAGGCTCCTTTGGCAAGAACTGCACTTCACCGGTTCACAAACAACTATGAAACGCACCCGTTACGGTCGCATCGCAACCAACAATATGAGCACTTGAAACCAACATTGCTCTTTTCAACCAATGGGGGAGGGGAGGATAAGTCACTTGAACTCGTATTCGACTTTGAGCACTGCTTATTAGCACTTGTCACATTATACGATATCGATATTACTTTCACGTTTTATTTCTAAAGTTGGCATTTTGCTATAAAAGCCTCGTTCGTTGACGGTGGTGGATTGTCGGATCGGGTATTTTGCCCAAAAGCTGTAAGGAAGCACTGTTTGAAAATCTGTATAGTTAATTTGTGGTTAGATGGAATCATTTCTGCGACGCAGTTTCTTAATGAGGAACGATCTCACTTGTCTTTTGTCCATCTTCAACATACGTTATGACCTCTGTCCCATAAACCAACCATCCATTCGAGCCTCTTACATGATTCGTGAATGGTCCTGTGAGCCCCCATTGTCGTGTCCCAACTGAAATTGCTCCAGACCCAGTACACCTAAGAGACAAAGAATGCAAAGAAGGCAGATAAGTGGGACATGAAAAACGATCAACTTAATCCAACTCGTGTTTTGAAAAACATGATACTTAAATCTTAATGGACCTGAAATCAGCTCAGGCTAGGACTGCGAAGGAATACTGCATAAAGTCTTCAGATATCTATATCTGGAGTCAAATATTCTTGAGCAAAATATATTGAACAATATTAGAAAAGCGCAATTTTTTGTAACTGCATTTGATCTCAGTGTTTTTGTCTGCAGTTTTCCCGAGCCTTTTCAAGAGTTTTCATCAGTTATGTTGCATGCTTCCTTTGACACCAATGTTATAAAAATGGGGCATTATACTGTTCTCGCAAAGCGCCCATTTTTTCTGAGACAGGTCAGCAGAAAATGTCCTTTTCCCCAGACACCTGGTAATTGACGCGGCTTGACAAGCGTGAGAATGTGAATTTCAGATGGGTTTTGTCGGAACAACGTCATGTGTTATATTTCATGAATGATGCCAAATTGAATAGACGTTATTTACTGGGAGTTATTTTCGATCGTGTTCTCTGAAACTAACTCATTCGGTGTAATCTGTTGAACGGGGTGGTGCCAGCCTATTTTGTGTTCTTAGCTTCACTTCCATTTTTTAAATGTGGCTTAAAACATAGATAGACCTAAGCTCAATCCCAAATGTAAACTGTTCAAAAGTGAAAATCGGCACTGTACTGTTTGTAACGAACTTTGATTTCATTACTTTGATAAGTACTCCCAGGTTTCAAAAACTCGCTTTCGATTCAATATGGCCGACACGTGACTAAAGTAACCTCACAGGAGCTAACACAGATGTAAGTGTACCCATACATTCGGAATAAACTACGTAATTAAGTCTTGGAATCACTGAGACTGCACGGATATTGGTCTGGCGTCACAATAAATGTTTTGCGGGTAAACTTTGAATAAAATCTGGTACACTGCGTTCTTTAAATTCACGTGAACGTAATAATTTGAATTATGATACTAAAGACACTGTTGCTATACCTCGTGATTCGGGGCAAGCTTTTGCTTAGTTACATAATTATAAGAGACGCCATGCGCCGATACGCTGTTTTGAATGGAGAAAAAGGGCACAAGTTACGCTATGCAAAAGAGAAATTGGCTATTTATAACCAGGGATGCTACCATGCCACACGGCACGATTTTTCAATAACTTCATGCAGAAGTCGGGTAGATAGTGAGCGATCGCAAGTTCGGCCGATCGGACCCAACAAAGTTAACTGCAACAGCTGTCGCGCGAACTTACCGTCACGCAGTTTGTGTATGACCGGACCCGTTTACGGCACACTGATACGCCCCTGATATGTATACATAGCACCTGGACCCACAGCCCGAGGACAGCGGGTTTTCCTAGTTACATAAGATGGGGTCTGAGATAAGCAACGTTACACAATTCCAACCTCCATGATTAAAACTGGCCAACAATACATTGTATTTTGTGCAAATTAATGCTGAAAACAGGGAGTAAGCTTGTGAACCGGCCCTATGGGAGGTGACAAGGCCACTAGAAATGACATTAGGGACCCGTATTCGACATTATGGTACGCCCGTAGGGTACGGTAGCGGCTTAGAAAACTTTGGTTGTTAAATTTATGACAATTTGGCATGACATGATTTCAACTCTCACTGTAAGCATGGTAAGCAGTGTGTAAGTTTCACATCAATTTGTTTGTGTATACACTAACGTGGGCTTTTCAAATATCCGCAATTTATGCATCGTATTTTCAGGGCTGCATCCCGTATCCGCACCACCATTAGAAACGGTGCGGGTGCGGCCGGCTATGTGGCTCGGAAAAACTGGGTGATTATGATGGTTAGGCCTATCACTGCGCATTTATTAAAAACCTACGGTGTGTACGCGAGCACACTAATGTGAAATAGACATTGCTTACATAGGTGATAAAATAACCACACAAAGCTGTGATCCACTTTTCCCGTTCGCAGAGCATTTCTATGATACGCCCACAACTAATTACGTACTACTGTAGCACATAAAAATGTAGCGGGTTAAACTTACTTGGACCAGCCCGCTTGGCTAGCCAGTACACGGCACCACTACCTATACCCCCGCAACCGACCACAATGTATTCGTACCAGTTGTCCTGGTCTGACATGTTGACAAGAGTTTCGTTCAATTCAGTACCGATTAATGACCGCACAAACTAGATCAGCTTAGTACACCATAGAACAAGGAACAGATGGACAGTGTGCAACGGTACATTGATCCAGGGTCCTCAAACATTTCACGCTTGTGCATGCACCGTGGGCCTACCACATACGTACTGTCCATGTACATGTACGGTTTGCAACCTGGTTTGCACTTTGATTCTGGATGGTTGTAGTCTTAGTTCATGGAGGCACTCCACACAACCGCGCCACAATGCCATGGTTGACTGCTTAGGCCAAACAAAAAATAGTTGTGTTTCCCGTTTTACGGCCGACCCTATTTTGGACGGCCCGACCGTAATTTGGGGGGGGGGGAATTCTTGGAGAGTGTGTCCTGTCGTCAATTTGAGATTAAAAAAAGAAAAAAGAAAAAAGGACAGCTTCTTGTGTGTGTCTGTTTATTAAAACATGAGTGTTTCACTCACAAATTTATTTATGCACGTGGAGAATTTTAGATCCCCAAACCGTGCCATCGTGCTTTGCCGCGCCGCGCCCGCACCCCCTGTACATGTACAGTGTACATGTATAATACATGTACACTACATGTACACGTACGAACTTGCCCGAAACCTGAGTCCTTTGTCGGATCGAATCATGGTCTAACACGCAGACGTTTCTCACCTCGGTCGTAGTCGATCGATCAAATACAGACTTCCATGACTATCGCACTTGAACCGGACTGTCAATTCTATTTTTTCCGTTTGTCCAAAAATTTGATTTTTTTAAAAAGAATACTCCTTGACACACGGAGTGAGATTTTTATCGTCGCTCAAACTAAGCGCGAGGTACCGTGACCGGTTGCGCGAAGTGCTGTGCAACGCGATGGGGCTGCTGCTCCGTTCAGCTATAAAGCTGCGGCCTGAAATTACACACAGAGATTCAGCGCTTACGTGACAAGTACAGAATCCTGAGTGACGCAAAATAAGTTTGAGCAGAATCCGAAATTCCTCGCTAGCCCGTGATATACGCCATCGGTATAAGCACAGAATTTTCTGCTATCCTTAGCGCCAATATCTCGCTTGCGGTAAGCAGAGCCTTGACTGGTTCCCGTCCGAATAACCTTCGTTCGACTGACAGGCGTACACGTCACGAGACAACGGAGAGAACGGGAACCAGTTTAAATAAGCCGAATGTTATATATTGCTACTAGAGCCACGCTCGTGATCTTCAAAACATCAATAAACGGCTTGTCATCAAGTCTACGACAAAGAGCGACGCGTGAGTATTTGCACGTCGAGCCTTGCCTCACCGGAATTGTCCGGGCTACACATTTTCGTGTGGCAACTAATGTAACACACATCACAATTAAAAAGTGACGAACCGACATGGATAAAAAATTCGACAGTGATAATTTACATGGGTATATTGGATTTCAAAATATTAATTGGACCTACTGATTCTGGGATATTTTAAGGTATAAAGTTTCAAAGGTAAAGTTTCCTTAATTGATTAAATGTAATTTTTGTGCGCCACAAATTGGCATATTTCTACATCATTATTGTGTAATTATCAGAGAAAGTGCATCTATTTATTGTTTACTGCCCAAGTTGAGGGATTTAAACAAGTACACTTTCTGAATTATTTTTGTAGTTTTGTACTCACAGCCAGCCACACTTTGTCAATTAGCAAAAGAAAACCAAAACGAAAAGTGGGTCGATAGAAATCGAGTTTGCGGGAAGGGCCGTACCGTCGCGGAGGGCAGATCCCCCATCCCTTCTCCTCAGTTTGCGTAATACGTGAGGAGTTATTTTAGCAGTAAGTTCTTGCCGAATTCAAACAGCAAACCACCGTCGTTTAAAAGGCGCGTCGTGGTGAAGGTCTGTTGGGGGTGTGATGAAAGGGAGGCAATTCAAGTCTTAGAATCCCAACATGTTTTATACCAAACCCCAAATTTCGATTGTTCCTTCCTCGTTTCATCACCCAACACTATCACTCAACGTACAATACAGGTAAGCCCATGCATGGGAACACATTGTCAGTACTCCTGTTCGTCGTTGATACCGATTGTCCATACCGCATTTGTATATAAGTCTATGTTCTGGGATTGTCTTTGACTTATAGAGGGAGGTGAAAACATTGCACCCGATGGCGCGCTTTGTGTGGTAAGTCCAGTGCCAAGTGAAGTCAAAATGTTTCCTCATACAAGTCATGCGTTACCCATACTCAAAGAATGGGTTATATACCCCTGCAGTAATCCTTTGCAGCAAAAGTGGCAGTGTGCTGAACCATGGAGCTACGGAACATGATAGCTCCATGGTTGGACTCCTTTTAAACTCAGTCGACTTAGCTTATTCCGTGTTATCCCTCTCCTTGTTTTACTCAAAAAAAAGCCCGCCTTTTAGATCACCGATACGCTAAAGATCACAGACATAATATCTGTGAACAAGTCGCAGGTAGGTCGGTGGTTTAGAACTACGCCCTCCAGCCGACCGAACTTGGTTGCCGATTGTACGTCATTATCATAGGCCTATACCAGTGCCCATGGGCGTGTTATGGCGACTCCTATACCAAATACATGTTTGTGACGTCAAAGCAATAACCACGAACACGTTAAGGGTGGCACAAAAACGAAGAACCAGAAACAGTTACATCACCTGAAAGAGGCAAGCGCAAGGAAGCAGTCTTAGCAGACGACACTATCGATGATCATTTTCACTTAAATATTCGGCATGTTCCTCACCATTGCTACTCTCTCTTTTCCAGTAGAAAGTATCTTGCTGATTAGCTGCACGTAACAACAAATTTTGAAATGCATAGTTCACTCATTTGAGGGGCGACAAAAATTCTCTTGTTTATTTTCGCCATTTTGAACCGGCGCTGAATCAACAACACCTTCGGTTCTTGTTCGGTCGGAACAATGATGTCACAGAGGCATAACCGAAGGTGCAAAAACGTTTAAACAATTATCAAAGCTGAAACAATTTCATGGGTTGAGTTGCCAGCCCACATAGGTCATCTG